TATAGAGATAATAATTAATTGAAGTAATTGGTAATCAACGATAAGTAAGACCGATTATGTTTTTTTTTGGTATGTGGGGAACATAGACTGGCACATTTAGACTGGACAGGATTTTCTAACAAGGCTGTAAAAGGTTTTGTGTAACAAAAACTGCATGTGTTCGTATTAATTTATATTTTTGAATAATTCGATATAAAAATATAATACTCGTAAATCTACAAACAAAATGGAAGATAACATGATTTGATTGATTGAAATGGAAGTTAACTATGCGAAGAGATAACATGAATGTGACGAGGTTATTCTCAACTTCAGCAAGTTACCACCTTCCACAGTGAGAATAAAAGAGAGTTCGACACTATTGTTATACAAACGTAGCAAATATAGTAACAATCCTAAATCTTACAGTAAATAATTAACACAAACACACAAACAAGTAGACATTCAATTTAACTATCTATCAAATCATTGTGACCTAATTAATACCGCATATGTGTAAAAAGGTTACAAATTTTACAATATTCTACAGTAGAATTTTAACGGTTAGGTGATTTTATTTAATGAAAATTCAATGGAATTACATAATTATAACTTTTTTTTGGTTAGCATCTACACAGCTTTGAGCCAAATTGTTTGATTACCTAAATATACATTTTTAACCATATTAAAACAGTAAGCACGCGTTACCGTGCAGTGGCGATGTACGAACATCCACAACCTCATATCATCCCGTGGGTGTCGTAAGAGGGGACAGAGGAAAAATAAATCAACATATGCGTAGCAGCGTCTTCCTAACGACTAAAAATAAAAAGCAACTGCGTTTGCCAACCCAATCAAATATTCTCCAATGAGAGACAATCTGGGGGGGAGGCATATGTTCACCAGTGGACTTTAATACGCTGTAACGGTAACCACGCGCAGTTAATGTCAATAAAAATTAAGTTATATTACACATTCGATAGGAATGATTTTACAAAAATGTAGTTTATTTACAATATACACAACTTTAGGTTTATATAAAAATTAGTCGACATTTCTGAACTTATAAATTTGTCTTCATTATACTTTGTCTATGTTACAATACTTGTAGCACTATGTTATATATTAGGTAGATCATATACTATTGTATTTGGTGAAAGGGGGGGGGGGGGGGGGGGGGGTGGGGTTTGGGGGTCAGGGGGGTGGGGGGGGGGGTTTTTTGGGGCGGGGGGGGGGGGGGCCCCGAGGGGGTGGGGAGGTAGAAGGGGGGGGGGGGGGGGGGGGGGGGGGGGGTTGATTAGTAATTGGAATACTATAAGTTTTATGTAATGCAATGCATACAGTACAATTTATAATATATTAATTATAGTTGCCAGTGTAAGAATATCCACTACCCCATACCATCCCGTGAGTGACGTAACAGGCGACGAGGTGAACTGATAGGTGATGGGCTGCAGCATCTTCCCGACTACAACTCAGCACGATAAAAAACTGCGGCTGCTAGCCCACCTGCCAAGTGTGGCAACTATGGCAAATACCCTCTATTAGATAATTTATAGCCGAGACCTATGTTCAGCAGTGGACTTTTATATGCTGTTATGGATGGATGGAACTGTAATTTGACATAACTCTCGGTAGAATATATATAGTAGTGTTGCGCGCCATAATTAATGCCTGGTACATGGCACTAACGCCATCTAGTATCGAAAGAACTAAGCTTTCTAGAAAATTCCATACCAGAACTTTCTGCACCCAGTCGGTCGGGACCGGTATGTGCTCGAACATTCTAGGCGTTTCAGTGGAAAAGGTCTTATATAAGGCCGTTTACATATTTCTACCGCCAAGATACACTTGCACTCCCACTCTTGTGTTTTGTTTAAAGGTTTAAGAGAGTGTGTATAACCCTAAACTATAAGGCCAAAGACTTTGATGAAGAACGATGAAGACTACTAAACCGGTAATTGAGAACAAAACTGTGAGACAGTTGTGGTTCGCCCGGGCGCGGGCGTGTAACTGGCATGGCAAATATGCCACGCAGTTGTATTTTAATTTACGACAGTTGCGGTTTTAGACAAATACGATATAGAATTACATACTTATCTGAAATAAACATCGAATCACGTTGACAATGTGCGCACATAAATTATGACAGCGTTTTCTTAGTCATATTAAACAAAATCAGTGTTAAGAGTGTTGAAAACAAAGTTCATGGTTTATAAAACAAAAAATTAGTGCTATCTATCGCTCGCTGTCGGCTAAAGGAGTCACGGGGAATTGAGCGTAACTTTCAAGGCTCGCAGAGCCCGATGTGTAGTATACATACAAGTCTTTGTGTAAGACATGTCGTCTTAGCTCTCAGGGTTGACAACGCTTCTCGCGGTTCCTTCTTTGTTTAAAGTTTATTGCAGATGTCCATGGGCTGCTGGAGGAACTTAGCATCCAGAGAACTGTTAGCTCGTTTGTCTTTCTAATATTATATAACAAACATAGATATACTAGCTTTATAAATTGATTGATTGATCACAAATATTTTATACAACAGTATAATTTTACTTTCTTTAAGCTTGGCATGACTACAAGTTTAAGGATTTAATACAAGATAACAGTTCAAAAACGTCTTAGATCAAGTAAACTATATAGATTGCTACAATAACTCACATTATATATCATATACATAAACACACAAATTAGAAAATTGTTTAAAAATACAGACTTAAGTTTACATACAGACAGATTATGTACAGTAAAATTATATTTATAATTGCTATACATTTTCAAAAATTATCTTTCGGTGCAACCTGACCAAATCTATTACCTTGCAGCACCATCGAGTCAATGTGTGAATAACTTACAATAAAATTAGTCTACAGTATTTACTAATTTGTAACGTACTCAATTTAATAATGAAAGCTAAGAATCCTACGCTCACCAGATATGGGAAATCATCATTGAAAAGCTGCGATTTAAACAAAAGTTTTTTCGGTTCTAGCACAATCTATAAATCCATACAGTCGTCCGACGAAGACGTTTAGACAGGGCAATCGGGGCGTGAGAGGCGAGACGCAGGAAGGACGAGCCCGAGTTGTTATGCCAATCTTATTAGTAGCTTGGGACACGACTTCCAGGGTAAATATGCGTTTGCTTTTAAATTTGGTGTAGGTACTTATAATTAAAATAATTCACACGACGTGTGCTGTGAGAGGTTGCAAGTCATCTCTCATAAATAAAGATTTTTTTTTCGAATAAGGGTGACACACGAATTCCGCACACTGAAGAAAGGTAGTTAATATTGTTATTATAATTTTACATTGTTTATATTTTGTTATGTCATGCCATCATGCCAAATTGCCAACGTAAAAAAGTGGCGGATATAAAAAATAGGTACTAGTTGTCGGGCATGTGTTTCGAAGTTTGATTTTTGTCTTCTTCATCCAAACCGTGTGGTTGGACAGGCTAAGGTCTTTTTCAATTACATTTTTATTATGTATTCTAAAGTGAATCAATTAGAAAATAAACTAATCTTATAATTCAATTTATGTAGTTATTGTAACGTTAATAATAATATGGATCTGGTGTCTGGTGACGAAATTATGGTATGACCGCATATCGAGAGTAGAGCACTCCCTCACGTTGTGCGGCGTGCAATTAGTGTTTTGAGTACTTTCAGGAAAAATGTAAGAACAAATTGTTACTTATTCTTTATATTTGTAAACATACTGTTGATCACGATGTAGATCTAAAATAAATAATTAAATCAGTAAAAGTTAATTTGTGACAACCCTAGCCTCCATGCGCTGTTCAAACATTGTCGGCATTTACCACGAGATCAAAGGCGTCCTACTGTATGTCTTTATTATACTGTGGTTCTAGTGTATACACAAAATGTGTTGTCCTTTAACTTTTTTATACATTTTAATTTTATTTCAATTCTTCAACTTTTAGGAATATCCGTAATTTGGTTTACCATTCTAATCTGATACGTATAAAATATAACTAATATATCAGAAATTAACATTAATCTATGCACTTTTATACAAATTAACTTCTACCCATGAAATCTATCAAATACTTCACCTCATTCCTAAGTAGCGCCGCCCTGGTGAGTCGTGGGTGCCGTAAGTAACTTATTACTTTTATGAGTACATAATTATTTTCAATAAAATAATAAGAAGCTAATATGGTGTAGACCATAGTTATTAAATAGACCATAGTAAATTTAAATACTAAGAACATATAGATGTTCTTAGTATTTAAATTTACTTTTACTGTATTTTAAAATAAAAAATGCATGGTTTAAATCGCTTACATAAAGTAAATACTTTTATATAAAACATACTTATAATTTTTGTGCGTTAAATTGAGAAGTAAAATATTAACTGAATACTTGGAGGACTAATTTTAAAATTATTTGTTAGGTTTTTGTACCATTTGCTTTCATGAACAGGCAAGTATGCTAACCATGTAATACTATAAGAAATATCACTTATTAAATATTTAATAAACATCCACTATCCCATATCGTCCCGTGGATGTAATAAAAGACGACAAAGGGAAACTCAGACAAGAGATGGGGAGTAGTGTCTCACTAGCAGCCACATCGTCTGACGAGCGTGGCAACTGGCAAATATCTCCTTTATATGTTTTTAGTTTGAGATTTTACGTTACAAAACATTATCATAATTAAAAAAAGTGGCAGTTGCGGAATTATTTTTACAAACGAATTTCCAAACGGTTCCAATCAGAGTTACACAATCACATTGTTCGTTCATCAGTCAGCATTATCGGTTGCGTTTAGCTCATCTGCCCGCCTGCGAATGCCTGTGTATTTATGGGAAAGTCTGTGCGCAGCTGTGCGCTTCATTACTGATGATGATAATACATTAAGTATTGAATTCGCTATAAATTATATATCACGTACAACAGAGTGTACTGATTGTATAAAGTCTAAAATGTTTTCCATCTCAAATTGTTCTGTGAAACTCAACCAACTATTCACTGGGATCTGACGTCGGCGTGGTTAGTCAGCCGTTGATGGTGGGCTGGTCGCGACTGAGCTGGGTGGGCTGGTCTCCACCTTGCTTAGGGATGAACGAGACGGTCAACATGTCGTCGTCTTCTTGCAGCAGGCAGCCAGAGCTGCTTTTAGTGCGGTTGAATAATCTGCTGGCAGACATGTTGGTTAACAACAAAAGAACACGTACGTACACGGTAACACTCAAACACTTCTATGTATAATATCAGACCGGCAATACGCTAAAAACTGTGTTCGCGATCGCGCGGGCGTGTAGCTGACACAGTAAATAAGCCACGCATTTGTATTTTCATTTTTGAGAGTTACTGTTTTTAAGCAAATACGAATATAAGTTTCATATTTTTCTGAAATAAACTTCACGTTGATGATGTGCGCACATAAACAATAAAAACGTTATCTTAGTCACAGTAAACAAAATCAGTGTTAGATTGTCGAAAAGAACGTTCGCGGTTTACAAGACAAAGAACTAGTGTACTCGCCCGCTCGTACTCGACTAAATTGAGCATAACTTAGTGCGCAATGTCGCGAGCCCGTCCGGTAGTATACATAGAAGTTTTTAATAAAATTTTTGACAGCATTACAGAATTTAAATAACAGTTAATTTAACTGTCTTAGTAAATTCATTATTTGGTTATTATAAGTTTAATTAAAATTATATGTAATAAAATATGATAAAACAGCAAACATTTATATTTGCATGCTATTTTAATAGTTCAACGAGGCGTTTTCCGTATTGAATATTATGATCATTACTATTGTTATCAGTTCAAAACTATTTAACAATCTATTCATACAATTCTACAGTAAAAGCGCACGCAACGTAGTATTTTTAAACCATTGTATAAAATTATTTTCAATGGCCTTTAAATTAAACGCAATAAAATACGTAAAAAATGTTTTATTCTTTGTAGGTTTAGTCGACATTTGGCAGATTCTACTTTTGACATCATAATATACTATGACAGATTTTACTTTAGACATCATAATCTACTAATGATAGATTCTAATTTTGACAGCTCCTAAATTTGATATATTATATATTTGACAGATTTTGAAAAAGTGAGACAAGTAAGGGACTTGTGGAATAAAGAATAATACTGTTATAAAGTAATCACTATAATTATTGATAAGCATAATTTATTTTTATAACTAGTATTAAATGTATGTAAATATATATTTTTCGAAACAGTCACAATTACCAATTTAAGGTCATAATGATTTCTTTGTTAACATAGTTGCGTATAAACAATCACTGGAAATAATTATTCGTATTGGTAATTTATAAAGTATTCACTACTCATAGAAAAACTGAAACTACATAATCGTTATCGTCAACCCATTACACTCAATCAATAACATCCGCTAAATCATTCCGTGTTCACTTCTAATGCAAAAGTGTAATTTGTATCCAGTATAATTTACATACAGTACACTAACAGTAAATAACAGTAAATTAAAGTCCCAATATTCTAATAATAAGGCAAATTTAGGCCAAGTTTCCTTTGCCTTGTTATTAGAACAGAGATAAAAAAATATTTAAAAAATGGTGGGTACTTTGGGAACTTTTCATAACTTTATTCGATCTCTTACTGTGACAGCTAATCTAGGTCAGGTTTAGTGTTTTTGTGATAATTCGTATTTGATAAGTGTTGTTACCTTTCTGTATGTCTTCTTCATAATAAGGCGGAAGAGAGGGAATTTGTTATTGAAAAAAAAAGGTTTTAGCACAATTTTGTACGAAAGATACCTTGTACAAAATCAAACGAGTGAATAAAGATCAAAGTACATGTTCGCGATGTGCGAAGACGGAAAGAAATGAAGGGTTGAAGGGTAAGCTATAGACGTCCGGTACTCGCGCACGGTGTTGGGAGGGGGAGGTGGGAGGGGAAAGTTGCGTAAGAAGCTCACCACTGTAATATTAGTAGGCTCCGTAATAGTCTCTTCTAATCTGTGAGAAAAAAATTGTCGCCGGTACAGCGACATTAATTTTGACAAAAAATACAGCAAACTTGTCAATAACCTTCAACCTGTAATTTTTATTTATATAAATCTTTATTTACTTATTAAAAAGTATCATTTTTCGTTATTTTTCAATGTGATAAAATGATTGTTGCCTGTTAATTAATAACTTTTCCACTGTTTTCACTATGATTGTTTATACGTAATTATGTAACGAAAAATAATTTTATGTTAATTTGGCAATTGTGTCTGTTTCGAAAAATATTAGCTACTATACAGGGTTATTTTCAAAAACTAGCCAAATATTACACTTAAGGCCGAATACGAAGAGAACTGGCGAAAATTAATGTATTTCTCTTGACTAGAACTTTGACCTGAAGTAATTCTAAGCTTTAAAACATTTTTGTAGGTTTGTTCGGGTCCTTCACAATGTCACCGTCATTTTAAAATTTTAAAATAAATGAATATACCAACAAATAAAAGAATGTTAAGATATGATATATAAAATTATTGTTCTTCCAAAACTCTGTGAATTTTAATTTAGGAAAAATTCTTTTACGTAAAAATGTTTGTATTGTAATTCCGAAGGTACCTGCTATCTTTATTTTCGATACAAAATATTGTTTATTAACATAATTCGTTTTAATTAAAAACACCTAATAATAATATCGTATATTGCCAGATAAAAGTTTGCCGTAATAAATTACCAGGCGCTTCGACGTGTGACGTAAGGTAACAACAGTCGATGTGTCTGTAGCGAAAATCGTTAATTTATTGTTTTATACGCGTTTAAGTATCTATAAATGTAAATATGGGTAGGAAAAGAAATAAATGTTACCTAAGTGGTAAAACAAAGAGAGTTTATCGCATGAACGCTGCTCGAATGTTGTATTTTGAGGTTAATACTTATATTTAGTAAGGTAATTTTTTGTTTGAGGCTGCCTAATAGGTTGCATTTTAAATCATTTACATTAGCCAAACTGATCATTTATACTTTTCTAGTTTCAAGTGAGAAACACTAAAAATGTAAAGTATCAAGACCCAGTAGGAAAAGAATGTACAGAGTAGTACAAGCACAGAGACCGCAAATAATGTCAGTCAATGTATTGTCCGAAAGCATGGGGTAAAAGTACATAATTAAGAAAAACCGAAATACTTCGGATGTGAAGTGATTGACCAGCCGGAGTAGTCTTGTGAGAATTTACATACACAGTACCTATCCCCACTATGGGGCAATATATACTTTACTATATATATTTTACTTATATATACTTTTTAGTTTTTTTTTCTTTATCATTTATGCAATTTGCATTACGGCATCTTGTAAGACTCACAAGAACAAACATTTTCAGTTATATGAGATATGAGATATGCACCAATTAAGAAAAAAAATCGTTATCAATTCAATAACTTTTCGAACAATATTTTATAACGAATAAAGTACAGAATTTATAATCTATTGGAACTAATATTATAAATAAGAAAAATTTATTTAAGAAGTAAGCAATGCTCTGTGTTGTTCATTACTCTGCATCTGAGTTAGTTCAGTCAAATATAATCAAAGCCCGTAAGGCTTTGATTATAGGTATTATACATGTCTATATAAACAAAGCGTAGGTACTGGCGGCGCGTGGTTTGCTGTGAAACTAGCAAGGTCATTCGCGTCGTATTCGGCCTTAAGTTCAAATATATAAATATTGATATACCGATATTGCAGCTTTTGAAAATACGCGTAAATAAGGCTTCTACTTTTATAAGAAATTATCCCAAGTTGAATGTAATTTATGGGCAACAACGTTTTTGCCTACCAATTTTGATTAAAAAGGACAGGATTTTTGATATTTTAATTAATTTTTCTGCCAATGCCAATTATAGAATGTGTCAAATGTTGAATCTATTATATGTAGAATCTGTCAATAGTAGACTATGATGTCAAAAGTAGAATCTGTCAAATGTCGACTAAATCAATGTGTAGTACTCGCGTAAATAAAAGAAATCATTATTTTTTAAACTAATATAGAAGCATACAGAGTACTTGAAGCTAAAATTTTTATCGAAAACATTTCTTCGCTGCAACTCCAGATAAACATTAGAAGTGACGTGGAAACATAGAGTTGAATATTATAATAATAAAGGTGTTATGAAAACAGATTATATTTAAGTCTGGAAACACTTTTTTTATAACATCCATATGCAATATAAAGTGTATATAGTATGGGGATTATGCTGTTTGTGGTGTGTATGATGGTTATTATCACATAATTTTTAGATAGGGTTTATTTTTGAGGTTTTTTTTTTTAAATAAATTTTTTTTTTTTTTTTTTTTTTTTTATTTATATTTTTTTTTTTTTTGTTAAATTAGTTTGTTAAGTTTGAATGACTTTTAATCAACCGGGGGGTCCTATATCAATTGCGGTTATCATATCCACCCTATGAGGCAACCCTTGGGGCGGGGGGGGGGGGTACTAGGTTCAGCAGCGGACTATAGTAACCGATTGCATTATAGTTAATGATAAAATCTTATTTGATAAAAAAAATCAAATGATGTGTTTAGCTTATTACAAATAATGATAACTTGATACAAATAATGGAACTTATTATTTATTGCACATTGAAGCAAGTGTTGGGTTACATGTATCACACATACACAAAATAAGCTCAAAACTAAATGCAATATAATAAACAACACAAAAAAAATAGTAAAAGCAAAAAACAACACGTTGAAAGTGAAAATAATACAGAATTGTGCAAGTAAAATGTTGCGATATAAATTTATTGCTCATGTGAACGCGCAAGCAAATGTAATGATAATAAACACGTGCACGCACACACGCGCACAACCGTGCATGCTTCGTTCATACGCACACACCACACAATACATGATAGTCGCACAATTTAGTGGATTAATGTAATATCTTCAATATCATTTGCGTTCTAAATGAAGTTTCTATACGTGGTAGTCACACTGCAGCTATATTATGGTTGTGACCGGGGTAGGACCACGATCTCATAGAATACCCAGCCTTAAAAATCAGTTTAATGCTGCTGTGTTTCGTATGGTGAGTGAAGAGATCCGGAGACCCTTTTTTACTGAAAACGAGGCATTCTGTGTTAGTCCTCAGGGGTGACAACACATCTGCGTTTTGTTTCTTAATCGAGGATTAATGTAGATGTCTATATGGGCCACAGCATCCACATATCATCAGTTGGACCGTGTGTTCGTTTGTCAGCCTTATTATACAAAAAAGTTTCTTTACTACTTCTTTACTAATTCGCTTTTGTGTATGTCTGTTCGGGTCGAATTTAGTAATTGATTTCAAACTAACTTTTCGATGCTCTAGACTTGAAATTTTGAACAGACGGTAGCTCAGAATCGGATGACAATGTTAGAATAAGAAAAAGGTGGTATATAAAATTATTTTTTATCTCAATAATTATTACTAGACTCACTATTTTTTTACAATAATTTCATATGCGAAATGAATGATATTTTCCAGTGGTCTTTAAAATATTTAATGAATGTCAAAAACACAAAATTCCCATGAACTCCACTCAACACCCACACAAAGCCCGACTACCGTCCACCGTCCACCGTCCACCGATACACACTCGAGCAAAATAAAGTAAAACTACACACCGCCAGAGACTACACCTGTAAGAGTGCCGACTTCCACGAGTCCCGTTTCTCGCTACGTGCGGAAGAAAACAAGAGCGTGAGAATGGTATAGTGCACAAGTTGAACGGCTTGATTGTGTATTGCGGGTCTCAGGTGGTCGAAGGTGGTTACCCAATCCATCTTTTAAAAAATACCCAAAAAAATGTAGGATTCGTCAAGATTGCATATAAATATTGATCAAATTTAATAATTCGTTTCCATTCAACAACCTGAGACTTTATCTGGTGCAGAAAAATAAGCACTTAATTAAAATTTAGACACAGAAGATACTTTTTTATGAGCCTCTAAGTTGGAAGTCTGTACGAGAGCAGTCTTCTTATTTCTCCTTGAATACTTTCGTAAGAAGATGTGAGTCGGAAAAACTATAACAATATCTACATATATTTTATATATTTTGCATTTTGTAGATTAGATTAGTATTAATAATAGTTACGACTAACGAATAATAATAAATATAGTTAGTTTTCTACTAAGTTAAGGAATCAATTACACTAGGTTCGGATGCATGTTACACTTTAAAAGCCTTGATATTGTAAAAAAAATTTGGATGTTTGTTTCACGAATGTCGTACAAAATTCTTCTGTTCCGACGATGAATACATATTTGTAGGAGAATCAGTGACGCCATCTATGATCACACGGCGGTGACACTGGTTCTTGAACGACAAAATAACAAATGATGTGGAATATCGTGTACCTTCTCTGTTGGACCTTCTGCTGACCTTTTATACGTACGGTTATCAGCTCTCCGTTGATGGCCCTCTTGGCTCTTCGGACCATTGTCTGATCCAGAGTACGGTGCCACTCACGCTCCCATCGCGGTTGTGTTCTGCAGGTTGCCGCCGTGTTTGGCATTATAGGTCAGGCGATCGGGACAAGATACGGTTTTCATCATACCCTTGGGGCGGGTTTGCTTCTCACTGGGTGATCCCAACGTTGTTGCTGATTCTGTCGCCGATATGGTATTTCAAGGAATGAAACTATGTATTCCATCATCTGTGGTGCCTATCGGAAGCAGAACTCAGCGATGATTTGGTTACTCCAGTAAAATTGCATCACGCCATAAGCAGGAGTGCTACCGGGCCTGGGCTGACGCATCAACGTCTCGGGATGTAAACACCGGCGCTCTTAAAAAGAAGTATAATTCCGCCTCCAGGTCTTTCAAAGGTATCATTGCCAAGGCAAAGTCAGAGCTCATCGGCAGAATTGGCGAGAAACTAGTTCGACTTCCTTCGGGAACCCGTGCATTCTGGTCTCTCGCCAAGGCTGTCCAAGGGAACTTCTGTAGATCTCTTCCATCTCTGCACAAGGAGACGACTTATTTGTCCATCTATTGTGCTAAAGACGTATGCTCCGTAATTGGCACCAGTTTTAACGCGTATTTTCCGGTACTCCTACTCCATAGGCGTAGTCCTCAACTCATGGAAGACAGCTTTGGTGCATCCGATCCCTAAAAAAGGCGACCGTTCAGATCTGTCCAACTACAGGCCTATAGCTATCACTTCCTTGTTCTTTAAAATAATGGAAACAATTATCAACTGCAAGCTCATGACTGAGGTACCCTGAGGATCACTAGCTGATTAGTGACCGTCAGTATGGTTTTCATCGGGGTCGCTCAGCTGGTGATCTTCTGGGTTACCTAACTCATAAATGGGCGGAGGCAGTAGAATCCAAGGGGCCGGTAGTTTGGGTATAGCGAAAGCTTTTGATCGGGTTTGGCACAAAGCGCTTCTTTCGAAGCTTCCTTGCTGTAGACTTCCCGAGAAGTTTTTCAATCGGATCATCAGTTTTCTGTTTGATCGGAGCATCAAGGTCGTAGTAGACAGTGCATGCTCCGACTACAAGCCCATTAACGCTAGTGTTCCACTAGCCTGCGTGCTATCACCAGCGATGTTTCTTCTGCATATCAATGATATACATGTTGAAAACCAGTACCATTTAATACTATGCGGACGAGAGTTGATGCTTTTTACACCGGCCGTAAGAAATATTTCTCGGGAAAACGTCGCCGAGCACCGGAACAAATTTGTGTCTGAAGTAGAGACATTGTTTAACAATGTCTCGGACTTGGGCCGATTAAATCTAGTCCAGTTCAATCCCCAGAAGACACAAATTTACGCGTTCACCGCTAAAAAAAACCTTTGTCATATCTTCTCAGTTTTAGAGCATTCCCTTCGGTGCTTCAGCCTGTATCGGAATCCTCGGCGTAGACGTGCAGTTTCATGGTCACTTGGAATAGAAGGCCAAATTAGCCTCCAAAACTCTTCGCGTGCTCAGCAGAGTGGGACAGTATTTCATGCCGGCACACTGCCTGGCGTAGTTTCAGCCACACATAGCATACAGTTCTCATCTCTTGACTGGGGCTCCCCAGTGTCAGCTCCTTCAGTTTGATCGCATCCAGCGCAGAGCCGTTCGAATCGTCGGCAACAGAGCTCTTTCTGATCGGCGTATTTTATCACATCTACCACGGGGAGTACTACTCTGAGGAATTGTTCGGACTAATTTTAGCCGCTCAATTTCATCATCGCACATCGCGACAAAACTCGCGATATTCATACTATCTAGATGATTGTTGATTCACCACTGTGCGATTTGAAGAAGTTTTCTTCCCCGCACAACTTCCTTGTAGAATACCACCAGCGATTTTTCCGGACCTATACGATTCAACAAAAGAACCTAGTCTTTTTTTTAAAGGCCGGCAACGGATCTGCAATTGCCCTGCTGGTGCAGTTGCTCATGGGCGGAGGTAATCACTCACCATGAGTTCAGCCGCATGTTAATTTGCCCGCTCTCCTATAAAAAGGTGGGAGACGCCCGTGTTTCGGGCGGTTTATTGTACTTTTAATTGTTATCATTTTTACTCTTAAGAAAACAAGCAATAGACATTTTCATAGTAAACTCCTTGGAGGTTACTATGAAGACATGTGTTGTTGTGTAAAAAAGGTAAATGTAAAGCCTATATACTTCTACTACTGGGCACAGGTCTTCTTTTTTCTCATTTGATTCCTGGAACGGTTGTGGAGCTATCTATCTAGCTGCTACAACAAGTTTGGCAAACTCCATCTGTCCTCAAACATATTTCAGGCCTCGGACATGATAATTTCCTTATGACGTTTTCGTTCACTGCTAAGAAAGTGATAAATCGGCACTTAAAACTGTAACTATGTTACTGATACCATCCAAGACAATTGCATATTGTGGCCCGAGTCGAATTTGAATGCTTGACATTATTCAATGATTGATAGATGTGACCAGCATTATAAGAATGTGGTGTGCAATCAATTGAAGTGCAAAGGATCGTGATACAAGCGTTTCAAAATCTAATAATAAAGGTGAGTATGAATTTAAGGTTAGAAATTGGTGATGGTTGTAGTCCGGCGTAAGCTGTGAAACGTAAGAGATATAACCTGAGGTATATATGTGAGTAAGTAGCGAGCGTGTAATATGTATATTTACGTGTGGGTGTGCATGTGTGTGCACGAAAGTGTGTAAATGCACGCGCTTGTGTGCCTTAGTATGTTTGTATGTTGTGTGTGCGTTGTGTACGTTTGAGCGCGCTTGCGTGTGTATACGCGCGTGCGTGCATGTTCGTGTCATGTGTGTAAGTGCGAGCGTATAGTATTTGTGCACAGACACCTCCTCCAGCTCCGTGTGCGTGCGAGCATTCGTGTATGTGTATGTGTGTGTGTGTGTGTGCGTGTATACCTAGCGAGCGGCGAGGCGGCGCGGTGCGGGCGCTCGTCCAGGCCGCGATGCACGGAAACTTCTTCCAGCTCCGAGCAGTGTAACGTCTGCAAGTACTCCGTGGTACGTAGTTGCTCCGGGGTAGACTTCTTGAAACTGAAAACAGTAACAATATAAATATCATCGTCCGCAGCAGCAGATGGTGATAAAAATATAAAATTTGATCTGATCTTCTCTTTACTTCTCGATTAATGTAAAAAGTAATTTATAATTTGATTGAAAATAACTGTAAGTTTTCCTAAAAACAATAAAACTACAACGGTAGCTGGCTTCACACATCTTCTACGACAAAAATCTATCACACATTTATTTCACAGATATATATATTTAGTCAATACGATAAAAAACAAAATCTTTGGAGTACTCATATACTTAAAAAAGCTTTTGACACTATCAGTTATAAAATATTATTACGTAAGCTAAAAGAACTTAACATAAGCGAATCTGCATAAGACATAAATTAATCTTAACCCTTCAAATCGTCACCAACTGGTTAACTTTGATCAAATCGATACTAACCATTCAAATATAACTTATTGCATAAAACAGGGCCCACTTCTTAGACCACTTGTTTCTAAATGGCATTCATAAGCTCGAGCTAAAAGGTGACATAATCTTATATGGAGATGACACTAGTTTATATTACTATGATAACTGTATTTATGACATTATATTATGTAAGTTTCAAATGGACTAAAATATAATAAATAAGTCGTGTTTGCAACGCGAGATAACATCTCGTTAAATCATTCATAAATGTCAAATTCATATTAATTTTATAAGATGCTAAGTTCTGAAAAATAAAGATATTTGAATTTACGAGTCGAGTCTTCGAGTTCATAGCAATCGGCTATGTAATACAAATTAAATAGTAAGAGATGAATATTGTTTTAAACATTTATGATTAATTGTTACTTAATGTTTTCATATGTGATAACTGATAAAATTTATATCAATAATAAGTTAAATAAGGACAGTTTAATGCTAGAGTGAAATGGTGTATATATCAGACAAGGATAAGTATAAGTATTAGAAAGGGATGGCAAGAGCCTCTTATAGGATCTCGGAGACGTGTAGAAATGAGTTGGACAACTCACACGAATGTCTAGCAGTGCTAAAAATTAATACTAAAATATTAAAATTATTGCTTAAAAATTATATCTGTTATCATAAAAATGTGAAAATGCATGTAATAAATGTTTTAGGTAGGTTCCATAGAACAATAAGATAAATATATTATAAGTATTTAATTTTATTGATAAAATAACGAAATAATAATAGAATTGTATAAGAAAATTAGTTATTTTAATTGTGCTTAAAGGTTTTAATTCGTGAATTAAACTGTTAAATTGTTTAAGACAAGTGAAATTAGTAAAAGAGAATTGTATTAATAAAGTTTATATTCGACATTTAAGCAGCGTGGCTCTAAAACTTTTATTTTGAAGTCTTAGATAAAAAGGAATAAAGTGCTTAATTCTTAGCTTTAAGGTTACAAAATGCTTCTAATCAGCACAGCTTACGTTTTGAGAAGCAGACTGGAGCAGACCACCGACACCGAGCTCATCGCCATCGCTGCCGACGCCATCCACGGCTGTAAATAGTAGTTATTATTACTGAACGAACGTTTCGATAACTATTCATATCATACACAACGTAGCCTACAGGCATATATGAGTTAGTGGTGTACGTTAGGGTATGATGAGACTGACATACGTTAAGCGGTAAATGTCCATTAAATGATTGTAGAATAAAAAAATTAAAAGACGAAACTAAAAAGAGGTCTACTATCTTTAGATGAATGCAAACTCTTTTCTTTCGTCATCGCCATTAAATGTTTTTAAATAAAAATGATGAACACAGATGATGATGACATTATGCAGATTTCATGGTGATCAATTGTTTTGCGGAAGAGAGATTTAAGAGCTATTTACAACATAAAACTTAAAGGGTCAATCAGAGAAAAAAATAAGAAATAGATATATTTACGAAAATTTTATCTATGTTCGCAAAAACAAGATTAGTTTTAATAAAAAAAAATGATAAACGCTCTGTAAACACCAGGAACAAAAACAAGCTAGCGATACCACTTTCTTGGCTCCACAGAGTTAGTAATTCATTTTGCGGGCAATGTTATACTACAACAAAGTCCCAAAAAAAAATATAAAAGGACTCTGTATTACAAAGTGTATTTATAGGCTGTTATGGATGGATGGATGGATGATGATGATGACGATTGTATAGTTAGCACCTGCAGCTGCAGGCCGTAGAGCGCGAAGGCCCCGCTAGCCAGCGGGATGCCCAGCAGGTTGTAGACGGACGCGAACACGAAGTTGAGCCGGATGCGCCGCACCGTGCAGCGCGACAGCTCCAGGCACGCTACCACGTCCAGCAGGTCGTTCTGCGCCACCCCCAACACTTTTAACTTTGATGCCTTTTATTAGGGTAGAACCACGCTCTCACCGAAAAATCTCACCAGTGTAAAATAGCAGCTTAAGGACCGATCCTCATTACAATACCGTTCACAGCTCGTTCTCGGTCCGGTGACGGTCTGATAAAATATTGGCAAGTAAAAAATATGTGTGCATTCATACTATGCGTAGCAGTCAAGTTTCGCTCGAATCGCATTCCGATAATATAATAAATCAGACCGAGATTGGACTGAGAACAAACTGTGAACGGCAAATGAGAATCGGGCCTTATGCTGCTGTGCTTCGTATGCTGTGAGTGTAGACAACTACAAAATTTTTTGAAGTGAAAACTTCTTTAGCGGCTTTGTACACTTTTTTGAAATGGGTAAAAAATGTTAAACTCGCGTCAGGACACGTGACCCTGATCGAAAATTCGTAAGACGAATGGAGAGAGAGAGAGAGATAGAGAGAGACAGCCGGCGCGGCGCAGGAGAGAAAGTATCCCCCTCTCTTTCTACGGCGCGGCGAAAATGTATGCCTGCGCCTGCTGTTTCGTTTAGGCGGCGCAGGGCGCTTGCGCGAATGTTCGTGTGATAATTAAAGCAATTCGTGCAAAATTATTCCCTAATCATTCCAAAATATCAAAAATGCACAACGTTAATATTCAAGTTTTCACTTCTGCCGGCACTCCCGGAATGCAACCCGTCGTTTTTTTTTAGAGAATCATTTTACTGGAAACGAGTTATTTCGTTTTAATCCTATGAGGAGACATTGTAACTGAATTTTGATTTATAATTGAAAATAAATGTAGATGTCTGTGGGTTACAGCATCCCTTTACCATGAGGTGTATAATTTGCTTGTATATATATCACTCTTATTAAGCTATTGCATAGCTTCTATCGCGGGCCTTGAGCGCGGGGACCGAATCCAGAAATTCCGTAACGAAAAAAAACCTCACGCTCCCCACTCCGACGGGCACGGAGGTGTGGCGTTGAAAGCCGTGCATCGTCTAAAGTCGTTTCAGTTCGGCAGACTTCGGCACTCGGCAGACTTCGGCACGGTGTTTGTGTGCGTGCGACTAGACGTATGCGTGTACACTAGCTGCTAACTCAATGATAAAAATTCCTGAATAACCTACATGTATTGTAAGATATTAAAAATATTTTAAACAATATTAACTTCTCATTTATTCAATAAGAGAAAAAAAATTGTTTTCTTATCGGTCACCACGCTCAAAAAGTGTAACTTGATTTAATATCAAAGACTTAACTGCATAAATAATTATAATTGCATAAGTTGATAAAAAATGCTATGCAATAGCTTTACCGCGGCAGTCACCGAGTGCCACACGTATTTTTTTTAAAGTTATGTAATTTGTACTTAAAGTTGAACATATCGCCTCCATAGGTTAGGTTAATCAATAGTATCAAATAATAAATTGTTACATCTTTTTAGCTAATTTTAATGACAAATACAATTCTAAAGTGTTTGGAGCTCTTGATTGTGTACGCAGTGTTATAGTACTGTTAAAATTACTAAAGTATTTTAATATAAAATGTTCAAACTCAGTGTGTCGCAGTATTTAATATTGAAAGACTAAAGAATAACAATTAAATTTAAAAACGATTAATTTTTTATAAAAAATGGTACTCTGATATAAATTCGAAATTCAAAATCTACGAGAATAATGTAAAAAAAATGTCTTGTTTTTTTTAAAAAGCCAGCAAGGCATTTGCAATTTCCCTGGTATCAGTTGATCATGGAGGTTGGTTGTTCGGTCCTAACACGGTCGAGTCGACCCATTCGTATTACAAATGTAATATAATTGCAGCGTCAGTCCACTGCGTAAAAATGGGATTTTATTTTTATTATTTTAGAATAAAGTCAAAATAGTTATCAAAGTTTTTGTGAAATAATATGAAATAGATCTAGAAATAAAAAATAAAGGTGGATTAAACTAATATTATTCTAAATTAATAGTGTAAGGATAGAGAAGATTTTATGTAGTGGTAGATGAAGCACCATAGAGTATATTGAGGAGGAGAGAGACCACGGGGAGCGGGGAGCGGGGATAGGGGGTGTGTGACTGACCCGCATGAGCACGAGGTCGGCGGCCTCGACGGCGACGTCAGTGCCGCTGGCGATGGCGATGCCCACGTCCGCGCGCGCCAGCGCCGGCGAGTCGTTTACGCCGTCGCCCACCTGCACACCGCCCCCACCACGTCAGGCACGCTGAGGAGGGGCAGAGGGTAGAACGAACCTCGCCTTCGCCCGCTTTAACTAGCGTCTCCGCTTATTAACCATTACCATTACAGCCTATCTAAAGTCCACTACTAAAGATAGGCCTCCGCCATAGACTATGGTGGATATTTGCCATACGTGCCACGCTTGATAACCACAGTTTTTTAATTTCAATTAGCTGTTATCAGAAAGATGTTGCTGTCCATCTCCTGGTTTGATTCCCGGTGTCGACTCTTAACGACACCCACGGCACGATAACAATATATCAATCTATCGTTATATTTAAAGACTTCTATATATACATAGAAATATTTGGTTATATTACGTTAGCCACTTTGCCGTGTGCTAGTAACTTCTGATGTAAATGATTAAGATAAAACGATATATCGCCATTGTACGGGTTACCGCACTATAGCTAATAAAATATGCATTACTCATTAATTTAGGTCACTTAGAAACAATATTATTTGTTAATTACGCACACACGTATAACTTCCGTACTTCCGCTTATTAATCATTTTTATTATTCATTTACAATCAAATCAGTGTTAGAACGACTTTCATTTGGTTTGTTTCGTACATTAACTTTCCCTTACATTTCGTTTTGCATTCATCTTGTAAACTGTAGACACACTACAGCCATAATAAAAAAGTATATCAAAATTTATAAAATGTAAGTTACGAGTACAAATTAAGAACTATAAAGTTAAAGTTGACTGGGATATATTATTGAGTTTGAAAATTAAATGACGTAGCAGATATTCCTACACCACCACTACACAACAGTATTACGACCGGGTCTTCTTAAATTAATTTAAAATATAATTTTCTTAAAAACCAAACGAAACTGAACCTTAATACCTACCACGAATTGTTTACAGGTTGTTTATGAACCATTTTCCCAAATTCAACTTTATATTGTTAAGCATATTTTAGTCGAACCGTTTTAGTTAAATCGGTGATAATGCAATCCCATATGAATCTGAGGGATTTAATTTGGCAATCCATTTGTTGTCCAACCCAATCAACAGGAACATACCCTGTTTATTGTGTTTTTTTAACACTTAGCTTTTTTAAAAATTTTTTACATGTTCTTCCTTGTACTCCAAATTTGCTATTGGAATTATGTTTTTAAATTATTAATAGGTAACTATTTTGTTTAAAAATAATAACATACATTACATTTGTTCATATTTAATAAGCTCACCATCGCTACTTTTTGCCCCTGCTCCTGAAGTTTCTGTATTTTGGCCACTTTATGTGACGGCAACACCTCTGCGTACACTTTGTTGATTCCCACCTAGAATAAAATTATAAAACATTTTAAGAAATACCAATTAAATTATTAAACGAGGTTTTAAGTCACAAGATTAAATGATTAGACAAGCAAATGGTTTTAATAATAAGACTGCGTAAAAAAAGCTTTCCCTCTTTTCTTGTATTCGCACATGCTATATACAAATATTATAAAGTCTATGTCACTCCCAAAATTAAGGCGAATTTAATTTTAATTTATTTTTCTTACGTTAAAATCCATCAAGCCGTTTAGGCTACACAGCGTGTCACAGAAATAGACATACACAGACATATTCTTGAATAATATTCTATCTTTCTGGGACATTCTGGTTAAAAAAACATGACAAGTGTACCCTATACCTGCCTGGCGATGGCCAGCGCGGTCTTCCTGTTGTCGCCAGTGAGCAGGCACACCTGCAGCCCCATGCGCTTAAGGCAGTACACGGCCAGGTGTGCTTCCGGCTTCACCTCGTCAGCCACGCCTATCGTGCACACCAGCTGTTCTGTTGGCAATGTCAGCATTTGTTAACACTTTGCCGGATAATGGCAGACTCGACAAATAATGTTATGGTCCGAATACTTTTCTTTAAAGACTGGTTATTAGTTTACTGGTTGTGAAATGTCTCTTCCATGCAGGAAAAAAATTATGTGTGGTGGTTTAAAAACAAGGATTTTGGAGAGTATGCGTGGCGAATGCATGACTTAATCCCTTCATCTCTCTTCCACAATTAAACAACCGGAGGCTTTAACCCTTTGTTGATTAAAGATTCTCTCCCTGTCTGTGCATGTGTGCGTGTGAACGTGTGCGAGCGTGCGTATTTGTGTGTGTGTGTGTGTGTGTGTGTGTGTGTGTGTGTGTGTGTGTGTGTGTGTGTGTGTGTGTGTGTGTGTGTGTGTGTGTGTGTGTGTGTGTGTGTGTGTGTGTGTGTGCGTTATTTATGTGTGTATGTGTGTGTGTGTGTGTGTGTGTGTGTGTGTGTGTGTGTGTGTGTGTGTGTGTGTGTGTGTGTGTGTGTGTGTGTGTGTGTGTGTGTGTGTGTGTGTGTGTGTGTGTGTGTGTGTGTGTGTGTGTGTGTGTGTGTGTGTGTGTGTGTGTGTGTGTGTGTGTGTGTGTGTGTGTGTGTGTGTGTGTGTGTGTGTGTGCGTTATTTATGTGTATCTGTACTAACTTCAATATATCTTCTTACCACTGAAAAAAACACCAGAAAGTTACATATTTGTGCGAGCGAGATGTAAGATTGCTCGATAGTTTTATCAATTGCTTAACAATCACTTTAGCGTATTTACACTAACAAAATGAGAAACCTGTCTATTAACTAACTAAAATCCTAAGTTTTATTATGGTTGTGCAAATTAACGTACAATGAGACTGGAAATCTGTTAAAAATCTCTCAATAGCACGAGTCATTATTTAAAAAAGAGGAGCTAAAACGCACACACAATCACACACATCGCGCGCGCGCATACGTGTTGCGTGCTGGAGCCCTCATGTCCACGGACACGCACACGCACACAATGTGTATGTATTACATACAACACGTATATGCGTGCATATTAATATTTTTACTGTTTTTTTTATAAGTCTTTTATTTCTTTTGTAAGATTTGTTCTGATTTGTAATGAGCAATTTTGTAATCGTAATTTTGTGGATATGACGAAATGCATCCCGACAAATAACTATTGGTTTCAGGGCTTCAATTTAGTTGTCTTCATATGGGTTTATCTAATGAGTAAATAAATGTGTGAGGTGTTGCACTGACCGTTAATGGCGGCCAGCACGGCGGTGCGGCCGCGCAGCTCGTCCTGGCGCAGCGCCTGCTGCACGCGCTCCGGCACGCGCACGCCGTTGCGCGCCATCCACTCGCGGTTGCCCACTACCACCACCTGCTCCGCCTCCTGCCACACAGTGTTACAGTTGTATGTGGGCGGCGGTCGACGCTCATGTCGTATTCTTTAATGTTAATATTAAATTTATAACGTGGTAATACAGAAACTAACTTGTGATTTGCTGTTAGCATAGATTTGTTGGTTACTCGACCAATCAGAGACGACCGCGCTTATTACAGAACGATTAGGCAGTGGGGTTAGAGAATAAAAGAGTATGTATGCAAGACAAAATGAGGAGAGCCTCGGGCCGTCCAAATCTAAAGGAACATTGTAAAGGGTTATTATGCCCAGAAAAATATAAAATACAATTGTAATTAATTTAAGTAATAAAAATAAGAGCGTAATACAGTTGAATAAATGATACGAAGTTCGAAATAAAGTTATCTCCATCCTCTATTGTTAAAACAAATCATCTCACACCATCACAATTCCATTGCTGAACATTAACCTACCCCCATCGCTCCTTACTCTATCTAATAGAATATACGAGTTTCTCTAGGTGATCGAATCCATAATAATGATATCATCAGTAGAACCAAAAAAAAACCCGACAGAGTTTAACAGACCAGTCAGCTTAAGGAATAATGGACCATCGATATAACTTAACCAACCAACAATCAACGAGGAAGAAAGGTTTTATGATAGCAGCCTCCTCTATATGCAGTTTATCTATCAATGCATAAAACTTAAGTATCGGAAGTAGGTCCCCTCCACAGAGAAGGGTTTTATCGTACTCCCCACAGTTAATTGATTGCTGGTTAACGTATTTTTACTCAGCTACTTCTGCCTATACGGAGACGCATACCCGTGTACTATGTGTCAACTGTTGAATAGAAATAACAAGTAAATATACTAAGAAGAAAAAATACACGTACACATATACTGAAGTATCCAACGACGTGTAGCCCATAGAAACTTGCAGCTTACTTTAAAGTAAGAGGGTGGTTGCCATCTCTACGTACTGAGAGGGAATGCCTTACAGCGTTTATTTATACCGGTACTAGGTACCTATTTAACGACCTCATAGCCAGAAAGAGGCTCCTATCACTTTGTTCATACACAATATCAAAACGTGTTGATACAAATTTGCTGAAAGAAACTTCGTTTAAAATTATAATGTGAAACTTCGCTTAAAATTATAATGTGTATATAAATTAAATGCTAATAATAAAACCGAACTGCGATAGGAAACGTGTACTAAAAAGGTATAAAAAATACTACGATTACAATTTTTTTGAATCCTAGAAAGAGAACTAAATTATTCTAAAAATGGGAGCTTTCCTTAAATATATTTTAAAATTTTGTTACCTACTTTATACTAAAAATAAAATAGGTTTCAATGTGTAATTTTATTAATAAGTGTTAATGGATCGATGTGTTGTAGTATTTCCTTAATGCACCTCTGTAATCTCCATGGATATACACGGAGGCCTCCCCCATAGATTTCTTCATAGCTAGGAGTTTTGCCATAGTTGCCACGCTTGACAAACGAGTGACAACCGCATTTTTATTTTTAGTCGTTATTAAAAGCTGCTGCCTATCTCCTGACTTGTTTCTCTCTGTCGGCTCTCACGACACCCACGAGGTGATATGGGCTAGTGTATGTTCTAACGCCGCCACTACACGGTGGGCACCTACATGAGAAAAACATTTTTCATCAAAGTACTTGCTCTCATATAGTCGAATAATTTCTTGTGGGAACCGATTTTTCTCTATTTATTAAATTTTAACCATTTTTGTCGAACATTAATATTTTGTGAAAATCTGCCACAACATCCATTTAACACCAAGTGGACCGTTTGCTGGTTTAATTCACTACTGGTTCTGAAAGTACTTCCATCCTGGGAAGAATCGGCATGAAACCTAGCGGGATATTTTGTTTTGTAAAAACAACAGTTTACAATCACATGTTACACAATTAACTACATCAAACAAATTAGGGTGAAGGTGTGTTGTGTATAAGGTGTGATGGCTATGAGGGTACACGGGTGTGATGAGTGTAAATGTGATGTGAAGGCGTGATATATATGAGGGTGTGATAAGTGTTAGGATGAGATGGGTGTACAGGTGTGACAGGTGTAAACACATGAGGGTGTGAAGGGTGTAAGAGTTTGGTAAGTGTAAGGGCATGATGGGTGGCGCGTGTAAATGTGAGAGGATGTAAGCATGGCGGCGCACCTGATGCTGCGCGGGCGGCAGGATGAGCTGGTGCAGGCGCGCAGCGGCCTGCGCGGAACTGAGCGCGGCGTCGCCCTGCGCCTCCACCAGTTCCACCGGTACGCCGCCCACTACCAGCGCCCCGCCCGCCCTGCACAAGCGTGCCTTGTTACGTATTGGAGTCACGCTGCGTCTTATTGTGGTTGCAGTACAAATGGCCTTACCGGAGAACAAACACTTGTATACTACTACCACTATGGTATTAATATATTCCACACAAAATTACACATAATTGTTCGTAACTTCTTTAGTCTATTGCGAGAGTTTGAGAAAATTAGTACTTTTTATAAATCGCGAATGTTTTTTCGACAATATAACACTGATTGTGTTTAATGTGATCATGAAAACGCTGTCATTATTTATGATTGCATCTTGTCCATGTGATTTGAAGTTTATTTCAGATAAGTATGTAAGTTAACTTCGTATTTGTGTGCTAGGCATATTTATTCTGAAGTATCGTATACTACATACATAAAAGTCTTTGCCGGAGAAGGACCATGCCCGTTCAGAATATCAAAGTAAAATAGTAATAGAAATTGCTGTATTTTTTTTACAGAGTGTTGAGAACCTAAGATTCTTTATACTAGTGACGAGGTACTTCATCTTAGTCTGCAAGAGAGTCCGTTTTTTTTATTAATGTAATTAGTGGACTGAATATTTGTTGTCATATTAACCTCTACAATATGTAAAATTTTCTATCCGATTTGTGACCTTGATATTAAGTAATTTAATATCATAAGTGTGTGTGTGAGCTGTGGATTTTGTTTGAAATAAAAAAAAATACTCATGTGATAGTTTTCAGAGAAAAATTTAAAAAAAATCAGCAAAAATTTACATAAAATTTAATTAAATGAGGAAACGTACACGGCAATACATTCTAGCATTCAATATGCTTATCTAGTTTGTATTAGAGCTTATATAGCGCATGTAGATTGTAATACAATAAAACAGAAAGTGCGGTGTGTGCTGCTATGCCCATAGGTATGGGCTTGTTCTATTGGGGTAAGGTTATGCAACGATTTGTCCATCGCGCTCTTGCAGTGCATTTTGCAATTTTTGTCCATAATATAATAGAATAGAATAGAATGGAATGGAATGGAAAATATGGAATAATGTTTATTCAAAATAAATTACATGAATACTCATTGAAAGTCATTTATGATTTTGTAGCACTGTATAATATATGGAATGTTTTTGAACGGTTCGCTGTAACGCTCTTGTATTGTTTCGTGATGTCGAGTGATGGAGCTAAAAGAAAACTAAATCACGTATCATTTCAAAGATATTTTACCCAAAATTAAAAATTCAACGAGGAAATCAGATCAATCAGAATGTGTAGACTTATGATAAGTGAATATGTTCCGTGGACAGTACGTACTTGGAGGAGTTAATGGCGTCGCGCAAGTGCGTGGGCGGCGTGAGGCCGGGCCGCAGACGCACGCGCGCGCGCAGGCCGCAGCCCGGCGCCGCCGCGAACCCCGCGCACACCCCTGCGCGCACCTCGCCCCCCGCGCCCGCCGCGCCCCCGCTCAGCGCCGCAGCGCACCACCGCACAATGGCTGCACATACCACACATCTCTACAAACTGCAGCAGGCATACAATACGTGTGCCGATGTGACGTCGCATAGTCAACACTACGTGCTGTATGTTTTTTGTTGTATAGTATCTACACTTACTGGATTAGGGCAATACTAGTGAGGGATGACAAAACGGATAGGTCACGTTCTCGGAAGAGTTTAAGCGAGTAAATATGTTGGTATGATAAGTGTAATAAGAAATAAGTTACAAAAGTAAAAATTCAAGTGAATCTTGACTTTTATGAAGAAAGCTATCACTAATAATTCAATAATTATTTATTTATTAAGGCTTATAAGGCTACATTCGAGCCCAATGTGGAATTTTAATATGCTATAATCAATAAATGAATTGTATAAATATACCAGAGATGTTGCGGATATTTGCAACCGCATCCGCAATTAAGGAACTTCTGCATTAATTAAGACATCCGCATCCGCAATAATTAATGCGAAACTTTTGCGAACGTGGTACAAGTTGTAACTAGAAAGTGGGCGAGATCCAGAATCGCACGTGCGTATGGTACTTTCTTTACATTGATCCAATTTTAAATTTTCATATAACATGTACTTAATAAATAAATTAAATTTGATGTCGCCATTATTGATAACACGGCAGGTTGTTTCCTCGGTAAAAGGCCAAGTTTAGCCATTTAGCGAGGCCAAACAACAATCGTTCTTAACACTATTCCGCCGGGAATTGTACATTTTAACGTAATGTAAAAAAAATGTCATACATTTATAAAATAAAAAAACAAAAATTAAAGCCTGTACACTGCATTATTTTGTGTCCTTTTCAATATATTCAAACAACTTAGCACAAGAACGAGTTTTATTTACTACATGAATAATAAAACAAAATAAAACGAAACCCCAGGTCCTGCAAAAATAAAATTTTTCGATATAAGTAGCAAATGTTTAAATCTTCAAAATGAGACATATGTATTTGAATTTTGTTCACGCCGGACCCAAGCTTGTATGGAATAAGTTCATCTCTTTTAAAGATGAATTCACGTCAAAATTTTATATATCACCAATTAGAAGGCACCTGAAGCGACTGGATGTTCGGAGTTGAGCTCGGCGGTGTGCAGGCAGGCCAGGATGTCGGGGAGGCTGTTGGCGTCGCCCGTTAGCAGTGAAACTCTCGCAACGCTCGTTTTGCCCTGAGTGATCGTGCCCGTCTTGTCGAATATCACAGTTTTAACCTATGGACAAAGTCAAATAATAATTACATTTTATATATTTACACATATTATTCATATATGTATTTACATAAATGTTATTTTTTCTTCAGGTTATTTTATATTGGACTATCAGTTCTAATTGTAAAGAACCAGCGTGGCCAGACGGCCAGAGTGAAGCGTGCACGCGATGGCCAACACGCTCAGCGCGAAGTGGAACATACCTTGAGCGCATTCTCCAGCGGCTCGGTGCCCTTGATGAGCAGGCAGAGCTTGGCGCCGACGCCGGTGGCCACCATGTTGGCGGGGGGCGGGGCCAGCCCGGGCGCGCACGGACACGCGATGGCCAGCACGCTCAGCGCGAAGTGGAACGTACCTTGTGCGCGTTCTCCAGCGGCTCGGCGCCCTTGATGAGTAGGCCGAGCTTGGCGCCGACGCCGGTGGCCACCATGACGGCGGTGGGCGTGGCCAGCCCGAGCGCGCACGGACACGCGATGGCCAGCACGCTCAGCGCGAAGTGGAACGTACCTTGTGCGCGTTCTCCAGCGGCTCGGCGCCCTTGATGAGTAGGCCGAGCTTGGCGCCGACGCCGGTGGCCACCATGACGGCGGTGGGCGTGGCCAGGCCCAGCGCGCACGGGCACGCGATGGCCAGCACGCTCAGCGCGAAGTGGAACGCCGTCTGCAAGATCAGCTGCCACCGGGTGCCGTCGCGGTACATCTCCTGCAACGCACCAACTAGCGCTATCACTTCATCATACCATAAAATCATGATATACGAAATATTTTCTGTGTGAGAGATCAATACTTAGCAATGAATAGAATCTATGAATTTTTCTATCACTAAACCTGCGCCACTTAGGAAAGAGGTTTATTAGGTAGATTCGTTACTTTGTTGGAAAAGTTGCAAATATTTTATATTATATATTAATAAAGAGGCATTGAGAAGAAGTGCGATGGTCTTATTCTTCAAGGAAGGCGCCAACGCTCTCTTGAACTACAGACCGATTTTTCTTCTGAGCCGCATCTAAGTTCTGTTTTTGAGAATCATATCGTCGTTTCGCACGAAGATTCGACAACTTCCAGCCTCCTGAAAAAGCCAGTTTCCGAAAAGACTTTAGTACCATAGACCACATACATACCCTTGTATAAATATACAAATTGTACAGAAGTCCGAAGAGTACAATCTGCCACTTTGCCCGGCGTATGTGGACTATGAGAAAGCCTTTGATTCTGTCGAAATTTGGGCCGTGTTGCAGTCCCTTCAGCGGTGCCAAGTTGACTGTCGGTATATTGAATTGCTGAAGTGTTTGAAAAATAGGGCTACGATGGCTATCCTAATACAGTATCAGAGTACGATACCTATCCAACTGCAGAGGGGTGTAAGACAGGGTCATGTTATATTCCCGAAACTTTTCACCGCTGCATTGAAAGACGTTTTGAATCTTCTGAACTGGAAAGGTTATTAAAATTAATGGCGAGTACATCACTCGCCTTCGATTTGCCGACGATATAGTCCTTATGGCAGAATCGCTGGAGGACCTAAGCACTATGCTCAATGACCTCAATAGTGCTTCCCAACGGATAGGTCTTAAGATGAACATGGATGAAATAAAGGTCGTGTGAAAAAATGTATAACGTCCACGTCACACCTACGCCGGTAGTTGTTGAGAGCACCAAATTCGAAGTTGTTGACGAGTATGTTGCATTTAAGTCTATGTAACAATGACAACAAAATGTCGAACGTGGTCCTCAGAAACCAAAGGTGAACCGTATGCTCGTTTGCCCCTCTCCTATAAAAAAAATCCAACCAAACTTCGTTATATTAAAAATAAGTAAAAAAATATACACACAGAACAAGTTTTATTCTTTAATTAAAAGTAAATATGTTTTTTTGTATTATTTCATACTAACTGGAGTAATGGCTTTTATCCTGTTGATGTCCAATGCACCACTGATAGTCCAGCATATCAGAGTTAACAACGAAAGGGACACCACCATGGGGACAAAGTACCTGTTGAAAAAACAAAAGTAACGATATGTTAAATTACTGACAGTATCATGTTTTGTGTACGGTTCTGAGCGCGGCAAAACTTAATTGCTAAGAGTTTACTAAGTTTGGGTTTTTAAAGCCACTTAAATTTTTTATGTCGTGAATAGTGGGGTGTATGTGTTGTTACTTTGTTAGTTACATATAATTATAAGGGCATAGTGAAGTAGTGTAATTACAGGCAGTGAGGTATTTTATTTTAACTTTCTGGAGTTACGTGTTAGTATGAGTTTTTTTTTTATCAAGAAGGAAAGGCTCTTAACGGTTGCCTTGTAAAATGCTTTGGCTTAATGTGGGTACAGTTGTTGTCAAATTTAGATGTATAAATAAGGCAAAAGTAAGATCAATATAGTTTTACAAGGCGATGAAAGCGGCCAAGTTAGCATTTTTTAAGCCAAAATGTGGTAAAATGTGGATATTTATGACAAAAGCATTTTCAAAAGAAATAAAAGGGTATGAAGTATTGAAGTAAGTAAACTGTATTTCTAATATTCTAATTATCATTTCTAATATTTATTAGAAATGATACAACGAAATTTTGTACAAACATTTCATGAGTTTGAGAGTAAATTTTATTAGTTTGATGTTATCAAAAAAGTATAATTTGTAAATCGTAAGCGGTGTTCAATGTGCGATGTAGTGTGTGGTGCGGCGCGGAGCGAAATGCGCATTACGTTTTAAGGTGTGCGGTGCAGTGCGGTGCAATGCATTGCGATGTGGTACAGTGCGGTGCGGTATGGTGCGGTACGGTTCGAAATGTGCAGTGTTAAGTGTGCGGTGTGGTGTGGGGTGGTGGGGGTGGGTGGTGTGTGGTGTGGTGTGGTGTGGTGCGGTGTGGTGTGGTAGTGGTGTGGTGTATGTGGTGTGGTGTGGTGTGGTGTGGGGTAGTGTGTGGTGGGTGGTGTTGTGTGGTGTGGTGTGGTGGTGTGGGGTGGGTGGTGTGTGGTGTGGTGGTGTGTGGGTGGTGTGTGTGGTGTGGTGTGGTGTGGGGTGGTGGTGGGGTGGGGTGGTGGTGTGATGTTGTGTGGTGTGATGTGGTGTGGTGTGGTGTGGTGGTGTGGTGTGGTGTGGTTTGGTGCGGTGCGGCGCGATGCGTACCCGGCGATGGCGTCAGCGAGGCGCTGCACGGGCGCCTTGCTGGCCTGCGCGTCTTCGACGAGGCGCACGATCTGCGCCAGCGTGCTGGCCTCGCCCGTGTGCGTGGCGCGCACCACCAGCGCGCCCAGCTGGTTCACGCTGCCGCCGATCACCAGCGACCCTGTCACCACACCATCGTGAGCGTATCACCGGCTCACCGAACGACTGAGCTTGCTAACCATTGCCGTTACAGCGTGTTAAGGTCCACTGCTGAACACAGGCCCCCCACAGATTTCCACACAGGGAGGATATTTGCCACGGTTGCCACGCTTGGCGAGCACTTTAGCGACAGCAGTTTATTTTTATTTTAATCACTATTAGGAAGACGCTGCTGCTCATCTCCTGATTTGAAAATTAATAGAGCCACAATCGAACGTATCTCAAGAACAAAACACTTACCTTTAGTCTTGGGTACGGGCATGGATTCTCCTGTGATGAGGGATTCATCACACGTGCTCTGTCCGGATATAACTTTGCCGTCTACTGGGATTTTGGCACCAGGGAGTACCTACTCGAAACAAACAAAAACTAAATAGAACGACTACAGATATTTTTTGCATAATTGAGACAAAGGTATGCCTTAATTATGAATTAATCAAATCCTAATATTTTTGCAATTGGCCAACACAAAGGAATAACTATATATAATTAAGAAAAAAAAAAACAATAATTATCCTGAATAAAGATAATCATACCATCTTACTATAAAAGTAGTTTATAATTAGGATGAAGTTTAAACTGACTCTGTGATTATTATCTTAAGGTACACTTTTGATTATAGGTAATTAGTAAAAATGAAAGAAGTCTTGTTTGCTATGCGATTTATATTAAACTCAATGATTGCGATTTTAAAAGATTATACCTTGTATAAATAGATGCACTTTTATGAAACAATTGGACAGTCTGTTTCAATAAAGAAGCCCCGTGGAAAAAAAGCATACTAACATGGAAAAGTATGGAATTTGTCAGGAAACAGCAAATGTCAAATTTTGCGACGACTGTGGCGACGCGGCTAAGATACTTCTTTAGTTAAAAACACTTTTTTAACCCAAGATTATTTGTAATGGATGTAAGAAATTCAAATTTCTTTAAAATCACCATAGCAACAACAACCTTATAACAGGGTAATAACCGGCCAATTTTTTGCAGAGATAGTTCAGAATAAGTAATATAAGAAAATGATAAAGAAAAATTAATTAAGAAAACTCTCAAACATTTTGTTCTTTTTATCATTTAAATTCAAAATGCGTGGTAATGCATTACTTTAACAGATTTCACTGCGCACGCACACACATTCGTAAAAGTCGATTGATAGGCAAAAACATTGTTGTCCATAAATCACATTCAATTTGGAATAATTTCAAGTAAAGGTTGGAACTGGAAGCTACACACAGAATATAGCTGCAACATGGCTTCACCTTATACGTGGTATCTTTTATACTATTTTACAAGTGTGATTATTTTGACGCAGTAATTTGCAAAAATTGTAACTTACTTTGAGAACATCGCCTCTTTCGACCAAATCGACTGGAATGTTCTTCTCTAAGATCTCATTACCGTCGTCGTCGACTGTCACCAGTAGTGCTTCCGTTGGTTTTAATGACAGCAACTTGGATAGTGCTTCGGATGTTTTACCCTAAAATACATCAGATTCTTAAAAGGTTTTTTCTATAACCTATACTTATATATAAATAAAATTGAAATTTCTATCTGTAATATTAAAATGGCTTTTTTATAGGATTAGGGTGACAAACGAGTACACAGTCTACCTGCTGGTAAGTGCATGCTGTGGCTCATAGACATCGACATTTAACCTCGATTAAGAATCAAAATGAGGACTAAGATGGAATGCCTCGTTTCCAGTAAAACGGGTCTCCGGTTCTCTACACTCACCATACGAAACACAGCAGCCTCAAGCTGCTATTTTACGCCGGTATTCTGTGAGAGCGTGGTCCTTCCCCGGTCGAGCCGACCCATTCGTGCTACAACCATAATATAGCTGCAGCGTGGCTCTACCACGTATGACTTTTATAGAACTTAGATATAAGCAACCATATTTTTGTTTGTCAGACTCTGCGCGCTAATCTTCAGAATGGTTGATCATTTAAATAACAATAATTGAATAATAGTCTTAAACATAAACAACACCACATTAATAGATCCTATTCATGTGTGACCGGGGCGGGTCGGTAACATGGTCATCCATTCTCTTTTTATTCAAAAATTACAGCCTTCTTTGCATAGATGGTTCTCTGATACGACAGTTCTTCTTCAATTAATCAAATAATAAAAGGTCGAAAGAGCGCTGTCATAGTATACGACTTTGTGTTTTTGTCTCTGTCGTTCTTCTAATTTTGGTTTTATAGGACGGCAAAGCATAAGGTGAGAATATCCTCAGGTACCTTACAACTATTAATAGAGGATAAGAAAAACCCGTGAGCATACCTTTGCAATATTTTCTAACCACCTGCCTAGTGAAACGAAGACCAGTAACATGGGCGGAGTATCGAAGAATGTCAGAGGACTCGTGTCCTTTTGCATCGCCATCGAGGCTATCACCACCGCCAGGGAGTAGCCATAACTGAACACAGAATAGAATAGAATAATTTTTATTCAAATGAATTTCAAGTAATTGTTACTGAAAGTTATCATTTTATTACTACCATAGAAATCAATACAGTGACTATGAGCACTAGCAGGAACATCAAAAGCAAAATATAGACATGTACTTATGTTTTTATTATTGCACAATTTAATTCAAAGTTTAAACTCCAGAAATGAATGCCAATAATTCATCACTCGCCAGATGTCGCTAGCTGAGACTGAGGTAAAAGTAATTATGCGTTTCAAATAAAAGTTTTTTAGTTTCTGGTGTTATATACGTATATACACACAACAATGCCACAGTGGTTGCTCTTTAAGCTTTTGCACATTTTTAAGTCTCTTTTTATTTCTTTTATGTTCTTTTACGAATATCCGTAGTTAGGTTTATTCATTTTTATATAATTAAAACGAAAATACAACCAATTCAGAAAAAAAATTCTTTCATATTTTCCTAACAAATTAACTTTCCTATTATTAAATCTGTCAAATATTGCACCTCTTTCCAAAATGGCGTCGCCCTGGTGACACAATAAGTTTTGGATACCCTCATTGATTAACTTTGGAGGCGAACAAAACATAACATATTGTTAAGGTCCCAAAACTACTCCATGCTAATGCGGAAAAAACAAACTGCTTCGACAAAGCAAAGTCACAACACATTTACTGTCACAGATCCCTTTATACAATTCCAATAGAATTCAACTCCGCTATTTAAAACTCATATTACATGTACAGTGCCATTTATTAACAAACACAATATCGCTACTACAAGGGTAAATGAGTGAGTATTGAAATTAAAATATGATTTTTGTTCAATATAGATTATTGCATAATACTCAAAATGGGTTCGATCCCCGCCGGCACCAATGACATTGTTAATTGCAATTTTAAGTGCTGATTTACCACGTGCTCGTCGGGGAAGAAAACATCGTGAGAAAACTAGCATGTCTGAGAAATAAAATAAAAATATTTAGAAGACATGTGAAGTTTCCCAACACGCATTGGGGTAGCTTGGCGGACACTTCTTTGCCCTAAAATCCTCACAGAAATGACAGGCGGTCTGTGCCCAGCAGTGGGGTATATAGTTTAACTTTTTAGAGTCGTTTTTTATTCCTATAGAGTATTTTCTCACACGTACCTGATAGTCGTCGTCATCGCGATCAGGACATCCATGTTAGGTGTTCCGTGGCGTAGAGCTTTGTACGCCTGTTTGTAGAAATGCCACCCACCTATGAACTGTAGAAAGTACGTTTAAATAAAACTAATTTTTAAGGGTTTTATCGGGTATCTTTAGTTATTTTAAATTCCCGACGTTTTAAGTACCTTACTGCACCCATGGTCACAGTGTGGTGGTGATAAAACTGCAAAACTTCAAGATACTATAAGCTTATTCTTCAAAGATCGAACCAAATAATAATTTTAATATAAAGGTAGTCTTGGTTAACTATAACATTGGACACCTCAGACCCCCGTGACCATGGGTACTGTAAAGTGTTCGAAACGTCGGTACTATAAAATAAGTTAATATACGCGATAGTATAAGATATTATTATCCTGAACATTTTTTTAGTCATACTACTGCAGTAAGTCAGGAATGAAAGATATTCCAGTTTGAACAAAATTCACATCAGACTATGTTGTATGATATAAAACCTTTGCCTGTCTTATTTGGCAAATCGTTACAACAATGACAACTAGTCAATATAATTTTCATTATGTTTACTTAGAGTAATTACTAGCATAGAGGGAATTTTAAAATAACGAATTAGAATATTGAAAGCAATTTTGTGAATAAAATACACACCAGACTAAGCTGTATAGTATAAGACCTTTGCCTGTCTTAATTGGCGAATCGTAACAACTACAACAATTAGTCAATTTAGTTTTAAATTATGTATGAATATTTTTTTCAGACTTTGATAGGCCATAAGTTTGATTAGATAATACATAGTAAATCATTTTTTTAATATCTGTAATGGTGACATAAGTAGACACTTAATAATTCCATCAACAATTTGCCACAACTAGACAATTTCATTTTAAATTAGGTAAGATGATTTTTGTCAAGACTTGGAAAGGCCATAAGTTTGATTAATCTAATAAAACATAATGAACTATTTTATTGATATCAGTAACGGAGACATATGTAGACGCCCATCCATCAACAATTTTTTCGCCATTGCCCTTTACATCATCGAATGGAATAAACCTTAGACTTAAAGGCTGATAATAATTAATACTACACGGTTAGTATAGTAAAACGTAATGGCGATGTAAGAATATATAATACCTCAAGTATATCGTCGTGTGGGTGTTGTTGAAGGAAACAGGGAAACTGAAACAGGAGCTGGGCAGCACCATATTCCGGATAAAAACTCAAAAGTATATTTTTTTAATTTATTTTTTATAGAATAAGGGTAACAAACAAGCATACAATCCATCTGATGGTAAGTGGATGCTGTGGCCCATAAACATCTACATCTTACTTACGAATCAAAATGCAGATGCGTTGTCACCCTTGAGAACTAAGATGGAATGCCTCGTTTCCAGTAAAAAGGGTCTCCCGGTTTCCTACACTCACCACACGAAACATAGCAGCACTGAGATGCTATTTTATGCTGGCATTGTGTGAGAGAGCGTGGTCCTTCCCGGCTCGAGGCGGCTCTCTCGTGCTGTAACCATAATATAGCTGCAGCATGGCTCTATCACATCAAAAGTGTCCGTAAGAGTTTGATACAAAGCTAAAGTGAAGCGAATATTTTGTGTGTGGTGGAGGCTGACCTGCACGGGTGTGGCCAGCAGCAGCATGACGAGGTTCTCAAGGCTGAGGCCGGGCAGCACGCAGCACATGTCCCGCGCGCTGTGCTGCGCCATGCTCGCCATGAAGTACGCCATCGCCACCATGCACGGGCCCCCGAACAACAGCGACACCAGAAACGCGTTTCGCCATTTTCTTATCTCTTCCCTACGGAAATACAATCGTCATAATACTGAAACATATTAACTTTACTTGGCACAGAAAGTATAATTAAACTTGGTAACGCCAGAAAGACGGTGTTTTTAACATATTGTATAATTACCCGAGACGTATCTCGTTAATATTGTATTCCCTCATATATTTTATATATTCGGCTGGAAAACCTTGTAAAATATGTACTCGTATATTAATTAGAAAGAAATAAAGAAACATTTATTACAACACGCTACAAACACCATTAGGCACTAAATTTTATCATTAGACATATCAATTTAAAACAAACAAGAATTTGATGGATATAACATTTAAAAAGTATATGTATACTTATAAATTACAGTAAAAACAACGTTCCTCATATTGTGTGTTGTGGTCTGTGAAGCTGACAGACTTCAGTCAGCTTATGCTGTCACCGAAACAACAGCACTGGTTTTCAGTGGGCCGAACGGACAATAACGTGAGGACGTCCACGTTACATACAAAATAATTTGAGACTCCTTTTCGCCTAGGGTTGGTACCCTTTTTTACGTGGTAGAGCCACGTTGCAGCTTCTGTTCAGCACGAATGACGCTTGACCGGGGCAGGACCACGCTCTCACAGAACACCAGCGTGAAATAGCGGAGTATTGCTGCTGTGTTTTGTATGGTGAGTGTAGAGAACCGGAGACCCTTTTTACTGGAATCGAGGCATTCCATCTTAGTCCTCGGGGGTGACAACGCGTTTGCATTTCGATTCTTAATTGAAGATAAATGTAGATGTCTATGGGCCACAGCATTCACTTAGCATCAGGTGGACTGTGTGCTCGTTTGTCACCCGATGCTATAAAAAAAACTATTACAAACTACTACCGTCAAATAGCAGTGCCTACAATTTTGTGTTGCGATTTAAACGGTATGAGAGCCCAGTAGCCTACTATGTGTGATTCAAACGCGGTAGAAGGGAAACTTTTAGAAAATTGCGAGTAAAATTGCTATGTAATAGCGCAATCTACTTCATTGTATAGGTAAAATCATTTTATCGAACAAAATTAATCGACTCTCAAAGTGGTACGTAAAATAGACGCTTGATAGCACGACCAATTTAATATAAATTGGTAACATACGAAATCGTAGATTTTTATGAACGGTTTGGATATGATCATTTTATTCAATATGGTTATTTTTATTTATTAATTAATTATTAATAAAATTAACTATATAAAAGTTATATTAACCATCTTCAAAACAACGCACAAAGAGGAAAAGCTGTATACTGTATTTTATCTCATTCTGTCGCAGGCAAAATTATTTAGATGTATATGTTTGTCTCTTTTTAGTGTCGCTTTTTCGTTTCTTCGAGTTTCAAATGACAACGATTGTAAAGAAGATTTCAGTTCAAAAAGTAAAATGTACACCTTACTTGTGTTCGAGGTAGTCAGTGGCGCCGCGGCTGTGTGAACTGGTCACGCTGGCTTCAAAACCTAAGTTGTTGATCGCCTCGCATATAGTTCGCGGACCGATCAATTCCGAGTCGTATTTTATTTTACATCTGAAACAGGATACAAAATTAACTCAGAGCGAGGTCATCGTAATACGTTCGTATGAGCAATAGACGTAAAATTTCTCAGTTATTATTTAAAATATAGATTTCAAGAAAAGCGGCACTCGATACACATAAATCTTAATTAATTTATATTTTAGATTATAACATTATTATAAATATGTAAACATCGAAATTTGTTGTAAGATTTTCAGTACTAGTGGTTCAGTCAGTACTAGTACAGTGTAGTTTCCCATAAAACATAGACGGGCAGCAGCTTCTACCTAATAACAGCTCAAAATTTTAAAAGAACTGCGGTGGTCGACTTACTTGCCTTGTGTGGCAACTATGGCAAATATCTTCCCTATGAGGCAGTCTCTGGGGGAGGGATGTATTCATTAGAGGAATTTTGAGAGATCGTTATGAAAATGATGATTCATCATCATTACAGCCCTTCCAAGTCTACTGCTGAACATAGCCCTCCCTCAAGGAATACCACAAAGCACGGTCCTGAGCCACATGCATCCATCGACTTCCTGCATGTCCCTCCATCTAGTGGGGGGTCGCCCTACACTTTGCTTACCGGTACGAGGCTGCCACTCGAGAACCTTTTATCCCCATCGGTTGCCGGTTCTCCGATCTATATGGCCGGCCCATTGCCACTTAAGCTAATTAATCCGCTAGGCTATGTCGGTCATTCTGGTTCTACTGCGGATATCCTCATTTCTAAGTTTCCAAGTATAGCTCGCTGAGCGACCTTGAGCGACCTCATACGGTCAACAGTGAAGGACCACGTCTCAGTTCCATAACTCATCACTGGCCACACGCAGCCGTTGTACAATGATTGACAAAATGATGGTAACAATAGTCGAATTTCGACTAGTTTTGATAAATCTTTACCCAATCCGAACTTGCTTTAACTCGGTGAAGATGTTACTAAAGTGTTACAAAATACAGCGTTACCGTTATAGCCTATGAAAGGTCCACGGGTGAACATGGGCTTCCCACAAATTAATATTACATAGGGGGGATATTTGCCACGCTTGACAAGCGGGCTGGCAATCAGTTCTTTTATTCAGCTGATATCAGGAAGGTGCTGCTGCCCATCTCCTGGTTTAGATTCCCTTTGTCGCCTTTTACAACACCCGCGGGATGATTTAGGGGGTAGTGGATATTCTTCCACCGGCTATACACGGTACGGCTGCAGTGTAATACATATTAATCCAATGGTAAACATAACACTTGATGGTGAACACTCACTTGGAGGTGGCGAGCGCGACAGCACAGCTGGCGACGCCGCTCAGTTTAAGTACAGTCTTTTCTATCTTGCTCACACACGACGCACACGTCATGCCTTTTATCTGTAAGTAGACAGTTGGTCTTTTCATGTGCGTTTCATATTGTCTTTATTATAATTTATAAGGGATTTATAATTATCGAATTATTTACAATATATTTTTAATATAAATATTTTGTAATTAACTGAAAAAACAGAAGGAACAATAAAAGTAAAGCTATTGCTTTTAAAATGAAATTTGGTGTAAATAAACAGGACCTATTCTATTCTTTATGTTCATGAATATCTTATATAGAACATACATAGGGAAAGAAATGATTAATTTTCGTTTGCTAAATATTTGATTTGATTCTAAAATTATTAGTTTGTAAATTGAAAACTCACGCGATGATATGTTGTGGATATATACTCAAATATATACATATGGAATAGGACCATTTGTCTGTTTCTCATTTCCTTTCGATTAATTTGCTATTATGACTGGAATTAGGGGATGCATCGCTCATTAATATACCTTGAATGGCACGTTGGTCGTAAACGCGACTGCTTATTATGAGGTCCCGGTTTGGAAACACGGGTGAGGCTAAACAAATCAGTCAATGCACTTTTCAATCACGAAATTCTCAGCATCATCCCGGAGTCAGGAAGTTTGCTGGGTTTCACGACCGTGCCTCGGCCAACACGTAAAACAGTTGGTCCTGTGTCTGATCTCTCTCCAGTCGTGATCCGATTACCGTCCGATAGGACTTTGAGAGTGAGGGTACAGCGAGTGCACATAAGCTTGCGCATACACTTGTGCGCTACAATCCTGTTCTACGCAGATGGCTAGTCTCCGTTCAGATTTGCCACTGTGACCGAAATTCTGGAAGAGGACATTATACTTTCACCAATTTATTATGCTCGTAAGTTCTAAAGATAGAGAGAGAGGGTTGAGACACACACTCAAGTAATGAGAGACAGCAACTATGCTGGAGTTCGAGACTAACATTCAATATAAGCTCCCTCTGTCCACATTCGTCACCATCGCTGAGGACTTCTGCGGGGAATCCCAGCGTCGTGATGGATTCTGCTATGTCAGCCGCGGAAACTTTGTCGGGCTCGTACCGGACTTCAGCCTTAGCAGCTAACAAAGCTATTAGCACTGACTGCACGCCTGTAGAAGATAAAACATTTACAGCCATACTAGCGTACATTCATTGTGATGTTTCTTAAATGTGAAAGTCATTAAATAAATAAAAAATAGAATAAACATCCAGACCCAGAATCATTACTAGTACGTGGTACTTTATACGTAGTAGAGCCATGCTGCAGTTATATTAGATGTATAGTTGTAGCACGAATGAGTCGGCTCGACCGGGGAAGGACCACGCTCGCACAGAATACTAGCCTAGAATAGCAGCTCAATGCTGCTGTGTTTCGTATGGTGAGTGTAGAGAACCGGAGACCCTTTTTACTGGAAACGAGGCATTCCATCTTAGTCCTCACGGGTGAGAACGCATCTGCATTTTGATTCGTAATCGAGGACAGATGTGGATGTCTATGGGTCACAGCACCACTTACCATCAGGTGGACTGTGTGCTCGTTTGTCACCCTGTCCTAAAAAAAAGCCAAAACAAATACTCTGGCTCTGGTAGCTCAGATCGTTAACTCTTGATGTAAATTTCACAGTATGCGAGCAAACCGGGTTCGATCCCCGCCGGCACCAATGAAATTGTTATTTGCAATTTTAAGTGCTGATTTACCACGTGCTCGGCGGTGAAAGAAAACATCGTGAGGAAACCTGCATTATTTAGAAGATATCCTGCCCTAAAATCCTGTCAGAAATGAGGGGAGGCCTATGCCTAGCAGTGGGGCCCATACTTTAAAGAAACGATTTCTACTAAACCGGATACCATTGCACGGAAGATTTTAATTGAAAATCTACTCTGCTGCCCGTTAATGTAACATCAATTAGTTGAAATTATAACTTTATTAAAGCTTTTTTTCATAGAAAGGGCTTGGTCTGAAAGTATAAATTAAAAAATATCCAATTGTTCAAGTGTAACGAGCACGCTATGTAAGCCGAGATCTGGTGGTAGTGTTAGTGTCTAGTGTTGAGGTGTTAGTGGTCAGTAGTGGGGTGATAATGCCGAAGAATGAGATGTTAGTGGTAAGATTGAGGTGTTAGGACTTAGGGCTGAGTAGTACGAAGCTCGTAGTAAGTAGTGAGGTGTTAGTGATTAGTGTTGAAGTATTAGCGGTAGGTGTTGAGGTGTAAAGTGGTGGGTGGGTCATGGGTCACACTTGCCGCGTATCTTGGCGCAGTGCTTCTCGATGGCGGCGACGCACGAGGCGCACGTCATGCCGCGCACGTCCAGCGTGCAGCGCGCGCTCGCCGCAGCGTCCGCCCCACACGTACCCTGGAACACCACTCGTTACATCAACACAAACAATATACTAAATTTATGGATCATACTAACCCCTGGAAATGAGGTGATGGCTACCAAGATATTTCTAATTTTTGTGATATTAATTTTATAACATAAAATAGTATTGTACATTTTTCTTTTTAGGACGTTACCAAAGGGTGTATTTTTATTATATTTGTCGTAGCGAAAACCTCGGGGTTGTTTTTTGGTGAGGCAACACCACTGTCCCCATTTAACAAGGGTTCAGTCGTGCTACCATATATTGTGTCCATTATAATGAAAGAGATCTAAGACCACACTTTTAATTTTGCACTACAACTGTATTCTACACTCCTTGTTATAAAAACTCAAAAAGTTTTACAAGGAAAAAGGTCTGATATCACACACTTTTAATTTTATACTACAATAACTTTATTGTACACTTCTTGTTATAAAAACTCAAACAATAATCACAAAGCTTTACCAGGAAAATAAAACTACACCGACGAGCGCAGGGACTGAAGTGAGTCTATTCCCGCGTTCATGCAATAAGTAAAACGTAATAACGACTTAGGTGTGCTCTCATTGGTCGACGATTTGATTGGTAATACTTCACTAAGCAATAACTTTTTATTGAATACATTAGGTTACTTAAGTAATTTCAATTACCAGGATTAATAATCAAATCGACAATTATTTATTTCTACGATTTAAAACAATATTTGAGTTAAAAGTTGATAATTGAATAGATAGTTGTTTTAATAAGAATTAGTTGTCAATAAAGATATTTGTAAATAGTTTTAAAGAACTAGCTAGTTACATGTTATGTTTCTGATAAATTGCTGTTATTAAATTGTAATATTAATAATTATACACTGTTGATTATTAAAAGTTATAACAATTAAAAGACAATGCAAAGTTTAGGCTTCGTCTACAGAAGATGTCCTTGCGGCGACATATTTAAAAGACTTTAATAGTAGTAATGTTCGCAGTATCAGACTCGCCAAACGTCGTCTAAATTTCAGCTAAAACGGAAAGTTGTATAAAAAACACCAATTCCACACTTTTGAGAGGGAATGTTTTGTGATTATCCCACGGTTGAGTCATTCTGATACAATCGAGCATACCTTCGTTCTTTACATCAAGTTACAATAAAAGAATGCCAAATATTAATATATCAAAAGTACAAAGTAGAAATATAATTATAATTACATTGGGTTGTGTCTTCGCAGGAGAATTTGGTTTGATTCCATCGCCGGCTGCGTCGTGATTGTTTTTATTATGTGATAGAGATTCTGCAAAAAAGATAATACATAAAAAGGATTAGTAATTATTAAAAAAAATTGTTATAAACCTGCAGTAACTGTTATATTTGGAATATTTATACTTTCCTTATAATCACGTCAACTTTATACATTGCGCAATTATGACGAAAGAATGGATTGAATGGCACTATGAATTTATCTCATATTAATAGATAATGGAGCTATTTATTGAATTTTACATCCTGTAATCCACACCCATATTTTACGTGGTAGACGACGGTGCAGCTAATTAGGGTTGCAACACGAGTGGGTCGGCTCGACCGAGGTAGGGTCACGCTCTCGCAGAATACCAGCGTGAAACAGTAGAACAATGTTGCTGTGTTCTGCACGGTGGTGACCCTTTTTACTAAATCAGGCGTTTTGTCTTAGTCTCCAGGGGTGCTAATCCATTTGAATTTTGATTCTTAATCGAGCATAGATGTAGAAGTCTATGGGTCGCAACACTTAGGTACTTAACATCAGATGGACCGTGTGCTCGTCTTTAATCCCTGTTCTATAAAAAAATCGTTAAGGGGAAATACTAAAAATACTACCTCAAATGGCTTAGCAAGATCCTCTGTTGTAGTGTAGTGCTCCCACGTTAATAAGTAGTTTAAGTTAAAGTTTAGTACCAACCACACGTCTCCTTCATTGACATCCTTCCTACATTACATGGCGACCCTGCCAGTCGGTGCGCTGCAACGATGCATGCGCACCGCCTAATCAAGTTAAAAGGTGGAAAAAAAACGTATTTAAATAATATACTAGATAAAAAATAATATACAGACGGGATGCGATACCGGATTTGACGATATTAAATAAGTATGAATACCAAAAGAGGCCACAATAATACGGAAACTGACTGCAAAATTAAGAAAATTTAACTGGCAGGCCGCCGTGACTGAAATTCGGTTTGGAGGACATTACATACATTACGTCAAGGCACTCGGACCACGCTTAGCCCAAAAATATAGATATAAATGGAAAATTGTGAAACAAGTGATAGGTGCAAAGCCCATTGGCCACTCAGTCATAAACCAAATATCAACAACATGCTAGATATTCGTTCCAGAATTGAAAAGGGAAAAAAGTAGGTGCGAGCATCACCCAGAAGGACGTGAAAATTGAGCCGAAAAGAATAAAGAAGAATTTGAGAGGTAAATTCGCACCTGTGTGATTTTTAATTCCATTTAAAACTTTAATAATTTGAGATTTTTTTAATGTTGTTTTTGCTTTTAAAAAAAGTTATGAATAAAATTTTCTGTATTTAAAATATGATTAAATTGAAAGTATTTATCAGATAATTCATGATTTAATTGTTTTTTTTTTAATATTTATATTACTGAAAAAATAAGCATACAGCAACAATTATAAATTAATCAATAATCTAGCACTTGATTTTTATATTCAATTTTATTCAGTTATAGTTTTATATTATTTTTATTACTGTGTCCTGCAAAATATGAATAAAATAATATGAAGATTACATTTTTAGGTATTTCCATTTACAATTGTTTATCATTATTTAATTTTTTATATTTTGTAGTTAACATATCACTGATGATAAATTTCGTGTGTGTTTTTTATGTAGTAAATTTTATTTCAATGTACACAATTTTGAAAAGAGTTATAACCGATTTGCTATTATTGTTTTCTTTTTTTTCTAAAGGCATTAAATCATTAATTTATATAATAAACTACCTAAAATATTAAAAATTGTTCTTCATATGTTAAGATAAATTAATCTATCGTTGTGTGAAGTTTATAGTCTGTTATAGTGTTTTTTTTAAAAAGCATTTTTCATAGCAAAAGTATTTTTAAAAGATAATGCATTTTGTGATGTATGTAAAAGTAACATAAATATTAACAACGTAACTATTTCTAAACTTCTGTGTAAATTAAGGAAATGTTTAAAACTATCCTTTTAAGGTACATTTTACTTGCATTCATATTATAAAATATTGTAAAAGTTATCTTAAAATTAGGCGTGAATCACACCGTGTCATCCCAGTCCGAACAAACTTGTCTCCAATTATTTGCGGTGTTAGGATTACAATTTGTATTTTGATCTGTGTGTTGCTATATTAATTATAATGATTACGTTGCTTAACATTGACTTCTTTGTTCTGTTTATCTTAATGTGAAATGTAATAATTTATTTTCGGTTTTATATTGTTTGAATATTTAAATCATAACTTTATAATTTATTATTTTCTTGGAAAACAGTACTAATTTGAGTAGATTATGAAAGTATTTTCTTCGCGTAATACGATTTTGAACCTCACTATATAATGTTGTACACAACTAATTGATTTAAATTTTGTTGTTCCCATATTGTGAGCCTCAATCCCTAAGTGACACTGTAATTAAATATTATACGAGACTGTTTTTATGATATAAAGTAAAAGATGTGATTAAATTTATGGTTAAGTTACGGAAAACATAATTATAAATGAAAATATTGATATTGTATAGTTGCGAAAATAACATAAAGAAAATTATCGGAGGTTAGGATATCCACATACAATCAGCCTGATCAGCTGAGAGTTTGGAAAACCTAATAGCCGATTAATTTTTTTAAGGTTGTTCGAACACGATTAAATGCGGAATAAGTTTTAATTTATTTTTAATGAGGGAAATGATAATTTATTATGAATTATATAGGAATATTTTCCATTATCTTGATCATGTATGTACGCGAGCCGTGTACGTGAAAGTTATGGTACAATTAAATAAGGAATTACGTGAGCTGAAATGTAAAGAAGTGAATTAAATGATATCGGTCATTTTCTTGATCATGTATGTACGCGAGCCGTGTACGTGAAAGAAATGACATACATATGTAATGAATAGCCAAAGTGCTAGGTATGGATAAAAATGGAAAATAAATAATGGTTAACTAAGAATGAAGTAAATATATGACAAAAAAAAAAGAATAAAATAAAATATTGAAATGTAAGAGAACATGAGGATTAAGAGAATACTATAATATATACACTAATAATTTAAACACACTAATTCACTTAATTCCACTCCGAAGCTTCGCTTGTTTCGCCCAAATCAACACTGCCTCCATCGCATCTTGCAGCGCCTATATATTTAAATTAGCAAAGAAATATCCAGAATGTTCAAGTAAACACGCGGAAGGTACCGAGCGTTCGAGTTTCGACTAGGCGCTGTCAGTTGAGCGATTTGTGATGTCATTTTCTCAATGCTCCCCTCGCTCTCGTTCCTGACACTAGATGGCGCTAGTTGACTTATTCATGCAACAATAATAATACACTAGCTTGGTATGCAGACGTAGTTCTGCCTTTTTTAGAATAATCTTAAGGATCTACTTTAAGAATTTATAAAAAAAATATAGATAGCATATTTTTTATTCCTTTGTCGGTGGGAGATGTAGTGTAGTGCTCCCACGTTAATATACTTTAGCGTTAAGGTAGAATAATGAGGCAGTCTAATTGAAGTTTTAGTACCAACCACACGTCTCCTTCATTGACATCCTTCCTATATTACACCGTTATGCCGAAAATTTTGCAGCATTAATTTTGAAATAAATATATGGTAAAGTTGAGGATTAATGTTATGTTAAGTACTATGTTAGGCGAAAACACGATTCCGTAAAATTTTCTCGATAGAAAAAAAATCCAAAGTTACCTCCAAACCGAACAATAAACCGCTGTTATTCATAAAATACTTTAAATTAGATCATGAAACTTTGCATACTAACTGAACTATTAAAGCAGGGCTATTATGTTTTTTTTAATTACCATTATTTACACTGTTAAAAGAAATAACCTAAGCCATCGGCGTCTTTAAGATTGTTTCCTGCCACCCGGTTAGTCTCGCTTCGGCATTTGAACGGGAAAGCTGTGTCACTTACGATCGGAATTCACATTACGCAACAGGACGACGTAAAATTCAAATTGTAAATAACCGTAATAAAAATAAGAAGCGACTGGGTTGGCATTAAGAAACAGGCATAAATATGATAAACCTAATGAAATAAGTATCTAACGACCTATCTACTTACAGTATTAGTGATTACAAACATGTCGGTACATAGCATACGACGCGCGGGGAAGTGGGGGCGAAATTAGAATTTGAGCTGACTTACTATATTCCCTTAAGGGGAAATATAACCTCAAATGGCTTAGCAAGATCCTCCGTTATGCCGAAATTATTGCAGCATTAATTTTGAAATAAATATATGGTAAAGTTGAGGATTAATGTTAAGGTTTATGTTATACGAAAACACTGTTCTCCTGTCGCTCCGCAGGAACCAAGCTTACGCGCCGATAGTTTAGGTAATTTCTTTTTACAGTGAAAATAATGATATTTTAAAAAAAGTAAATAACATAAGCACTGCTTTATGGTTAGTTCAGTTAGTATGCAAAGTTTCATGATCTTATTTAAAGTATTTTATGAATAACAGCGGTTTATTGATCAGTTTGGAGGTAACTTTGGATTTTTTTTTCTATCGAGAAAATTTTACGGAATCGTGTTTTCGTCTAACATAAACCTCAACATTAATCCTCAACTTTACCATATATTTATTTCAAAATTAATGCTGCAATACTTTCGGCATAACGGAGGATCTTGCTAAGCCATTTGAGGTTATATTTCCCCTTAAGTGTAGGATCATTATTTTGACAAGTCATATGTGTATGATAACTAAAAACTAGCAATGGAGTCCTGTTTGTTAGATTTGTATAATTCACAAATTATTAATATAATCATACTCATCGGCTTACTAGCTCAACTGTCTTTTCTACAACTACTTATTAACATTTATGTTCCACCTCTTTCCCTCGCTCCGTAATCTCAATTTGTATAAAATTTTGTTTAAAATTTAATGTGATTTGAGGAGTGCAGAACTTTTTATTGCATATATAGTTTAAAGTATGAAGGGGAAATTGGAATCTTAATGTGTTTTAGTTATAAACATAGTAGCGAGCGTGTCATTAAAGAAGTAAACAGTAGGCAAAAGCTCTGTGCATTGACTCGTACACACACGAGCGCGCGTTGTTGTTGCCCATAAATCACATTTAATTTAGGATCTTTTCAAATTATTGTAGAAATCTTATTTACGCGTATTTTTAAAAACTGCGAAATGTGTACATCAGTGTTTATATCTTGAACTTAATTATTAAATTTCTCTAGTCTTTGAAAAACAACCCTGTATATTTTTATAGTTGTAATTTTTCAAAAAATGTTATTTAACCTCTCAAACCCCAAACGGTCGCATGCGACCGCGACCATATTTCGTCAAATCCCCTAACGGTCTCATGAGACCGCACCCACCCACAGCACTTTAACCCATAAAAACTTATATTTACAGACTACTTTTCTAGAAAGAAGATTGGCATTATAGGCTCAATGTGAAATTTCCTATCCTCTAATGCAATAAAAAGTAGTTAGTTTATGTTTTTTATTTATAATCTACGTTCATTTCGTACGCCTATTTTGTGTGGCGTGTTATTGTGTTGATTTTTGAATTTTTCTAATGTTTTATTAGTGTTTAGTATAGTGTTTTATTATAAAATTGTTATAAAAGTTTTTGTGTGAATATAATTTATCTTTTTACGTAAATAATTTCTAGTAATATATAGAAATAACTGTGACATTTTTAACTATGAAAATACAATTAAAATCTATTTGTAATGAAGTAAAAGCACTAAAACAAGTAATATAACATAATAACTAAACAGAAACAAGTATTATATTGAATTTATAATGAATATTATTGAAAATAAATGTACGACAAATTCAAAGTTAGGTTATTTTTAGCAACGCCGCGTCACGCGAAACGAGCGGGCGATGTTAATCATTTTAGCTGGCGGCTGAGGGGTTAAAATAGGTTTAGTCATATAATGTGATAACCTCATCGCCACTCCGTATAAGCAAGCAAAGCGAAGTATGATTGTAGATTCACCTGAGTAAGGCTGGCCATCAACGGCGAGGATTGCAACGTCGAAGCCCAGGTCGTAGATGGCGTCCGCGAGCTGGCGCGGTGTCACCCGCCCCCGCGCCACCCGCACTCGTGCCTCGCCCTCCGCCAGCCGCACGCGCGCGTCCCGCACCCCGTCCAGCTCCCGCAGCCGCCCTGCGCGCACACAACCACAGATAACCAATAGAATAGCCCGTTACAAATTAATTAATGAGTAGTAGACCCATGCTGCAGCTATATTAAAAGTATAATTGTAGCAAGAATGGGTCAGTTCGCCCGTAGAAAAACTACGCTCTCACAGAATACCAGCGTAAAATAGCAGTGTAATGCTCGTATGCTTCGTATGTTGAGTGTAAAGAACTGGCAACCCTGCTGGAAATGAGACAATTCATCTTTGTCTTTAAGGATGACAACGCTACTGCATTTGTGAACGTTGTTTTTGACTATCTAACACTGATTTAATTTAAAATTACTAAGAAAACGCGGTTATTATTTATGTGCACACAGTCAACATGAATTAAAGTTTTATTTCGTATTCGCCTACAACTGTCGTACCTAAATAAAAATACAACTGCTTGGCATATTTACCATGCTAGCCTACCCCCCCCCCCCACGAATCACAGTTGTGAAACAGTTTTGGTCTATATTGCCGGAAAAGATATATCCAACCAAATCTAAGAAATACCTTTTGACGTCTCACATTAATCATTCCGCACCAAATTTCTACAAAGGTACTCACACGATTTAAAATAACTTTTGATAAATCCCAATAATAATAATGTAATCTATATTTCATTACAACATGTACAGTTCTTTATCACTAATTTAAATGTGAATCTTTCAAAAAAGCAAAATATTTTTTTTTATCAGAATCAACTTTTTGCCTGACGTTGTTTTAATAATATATCGGTAATACCGTACATACCGATTCGGTATGTACTTGTGGTTGACTGAGAAGACGATGGAATAGTCGCCCAGAAACAAAACCAAATGAGGAGCATATTGGGAGAGGCGATTATGGAAACGCGCAGTACACCTCTCGAGGATCGACCATGACTTCTCCACATGCGCCTAAGTAAGCGGAATCAGGCTGTCGTGAGGGTACTAAACCCAATGCTGTTGACGTATTTGGAGGCCAGTCGGGACCTTCGCGAGACTAATTCAATTCTTTTTGGCGCTACACTGGCGGTCTGCCATATTATAGGCGCCAGGGTTTCCACGGCTGGACGCGTTACTGAACAAAGTAGCGCCATTAAAGCCTAGAGAAAAAGAATTAAAGACCGTATCGCAAAGGCAGGAGCCCTTATCGGCAGTCTGACAAGCTTCAGGTCAGGCAATAACAGGCCAAGAAACGTGCGCACCTTCAGGATGTCGTTTGCTGGGACAAATATTAGTTTGTCCCAGCAGTTATTTCTTAGACTTGGTTGAATATATTATACACAGAAGTCATTGCCAAACACCAACTTTTCGATATACTGTTTCACAAGGGCCTCCGCCGAAGCTGGGCTGCAGATTAATGACAATGGTCCCAGATGTCGCCGGCTTGTGTGTCTAACGTCAAGGGTAAAGAAAGAATAAACAAAAACACCATCTGTATTTCGGCATCTAACGCAAGCTGTAAGATTTTACTTGAATTTTTTTTTGGTCACTTCTTAGAACACCCACGGAACACAATGGAGGAGCCGCTAAGCCATCATGGCTACTATGTTTGTATAAACAATCAAACTTACGATCTGTAATTTTCGTTTCTTTTTTTTTATAGAATAAGAGTGACAAACGGGCACACAGTCCATCTGATGGTAAGTGGATGCTCTGGCCCACAGACATCTAGATTTATCCCCGATTAAGAATCAAAACGCAGATGCGTTGTCACCCCTGAGGGTTAAGATGGAATGATTAGTTTCCAGTAAAAAGGGTCTCCGGATCTCTACACTCACCATACGAAACACCGCAGCATTAAGCTGCTATTTTACGCTGGTACTCTGTGAGGGCGTGTTCCTGCCGCGGTCGAGCCGACCCATTCGTGCTACAAGCACAATGAAGATGCAGCATGGCTCTACCACGTATCAAGTTAATGAGAAACGAAAATTACAATTCATATCCGTGACATGCTACCTTAATCCGTACCATCCGGCAGTTTAAATACGTAAATTTCACAAGGCCAAACATTCAGACCCGGTACAACTATTTGTACACCATACAAATAGTTGTTCCATGCGGGCTTCGAACCTGCTGCCCTTGGCACTTCAACTCATTGCTAAGCCACTGCGCCATGGAGTAGTCAAATTCAACTAAAGTACAATTAATAAGCTGTAATAGCTGAATTGTAATTGAAATTATCTGTATAGGAATTAATAGAACAGAATAAAATAAATTATTTTTTTATTCAATATAGATCTAATTTTTATTCACTCATTTTTTTACTTTAACCACTGGTTCGATAAAAAAACCTCTGTCCTGGTAAAAACCAGTAAAAAAGTTTGTACAAACTATTAATAAAAATTATTTTTATAAACAACTTGGAAGCGACTACCTCACTCCCAGGGATTCTGATAAATTTATGACGAAGTCTAAGCATACCTCTCTGAGAACCGTGAAATACCTTAAGACAAGATACAAGCATTAAATGCGTTACCGCGTACCTTCAATGCTGTTGACGCAGGACTGGCAGGTCATGCCGACGACTGACAGTAGCACCTCGCTCTCCGTAGGCCCTGACATGTCGATCAACATGTCCGTGGGGATCTCTTTCGGTAGGAGATTTCTGAAGAGAGAGAAAATTAATGAGTCTAACAGATCTTAAAGTTATTTTTTTTAACTTATTTAAAGTACTTTAGGGCATTGGACAAATATGCACTACGTACTACAACAGACACCGAGAAGAAAATCTGTGTGACGGAGCGGGCCGCGTAAAAGGAAGCATGAGTATCATTGTATGTCACAACTAAGCTTGGGCCCGCGGGCTCTAATATGTGTTGCAATCCATAAGTCTCGGCGTCCTTTCTAATACTTGGTACATGATACTTCAATGCTTTAAGTAGTAGTGACTAAAGTCTCAAATTTTATAGTAATAATAATAACGTCACGACGGCCAATCTTAACAGAGACTAGCCATCTGCGCTGGACAGGATTTTAGAACTTGAGTGTATGCGCGCACAGGTATACTCTCTATTCCCTCACTCTCATAGTCCGATGGGAGGGTTATCAGACACGAGAGGGATCAGGCGCACGGAGGTGAAACGTCACCAACTTCCCGACACCGGGCTGCTACTGAGGATTACGTAACAAAAAAAACTCCATAATTGAGTTATTCTGGCCCGACCAAGGATTCGAACCCGGTACCTCACGATCAGCAGTGTGTTTATAATCACTAGACCAACGAGCGGTCGAGGGTGGTAAAGTTACTCCGAGTTTAAAATTAAATATTCCAAACTAACGTTAAAAATTACTTTTCGTATAGATTAACGTAAATTCGTGCTACAACCATATTATAGCTGCAGCATGGCTTTACCACGTAAAAAAATGGATAAATATAGCAAATTCGTGGAAAAGGTTGAATATGGTACCTACGACACGTTAACACGACTACAGTGTGTACTCACTTGGTTTCGTCGTCAGCGACGTCGGTGGGGGTCTCGAACCCCATGTCCTCTATGTGGGAGCGGATTGCCTCCACCGAGCACACGTGAGGATCATAGCGGAAGTAGCCAGCGTTCTCCGACAGTTCCACCTGCAAGTTGATAAGAGATCATATAAATATTAAATATTTAAAAAAAACCAGAGTGGAAAATCGTACAACCAGTGCGTGTTGCCAGCGATGACTTATAATTGTGTACTATTACAGATGGCTGTATGAGGAAGCTCAAGGTCACTCAGCGTGCTATGCAGAGGGCTATGCTCGAGGATTCTCTACTTGATAGACTTGGAAATGAAGATGTCCGCAGCAGAACCAAAGTAACCGACATAGCCCAACGGATCAGTGAGCTGAAGAGGCAATGGGCCAGCTATGCCTCAACTAGATAGAGTGACGACCTGATAAGATATGCTGGAAGTCAATGGATGCAGGTGGCTCAAGACGGTGCTATGAGGCATTCCTTGAGGGAGGCCTATATTCAGAAGTGAATAAATGAATGAATGATATTTTTATTCAATGTAGATTATTGTATTTATTACTTATTGAAAGTCATTTTTTTATTTACCACTGGTTCGCAAAAAAAATTGTTTGACCTTGCAGGCCATCCCTGGAACTTCCCGCTAATTTGAAATGCAAAGCGCTCTAAATTTCACCAAATTATGTTGCGAAATCTCGAAGTTGTGTTAAAAAAAATTTTTTCTCCTTCGATATCTCACGAACGAATGAACTGATTTTTATTTTCCAAACGCCATTGAACGTCATTTTTTGAGGTTGAGGTCTGATTACTTTTTGAAATCGATAGGTAAAGCCATTTAAAAACTATTAAAAAAAAGTAGTTTTTCAAAATGTTTATTTTTGAGATTTCTCAAAATCTACTCGTCCGAATCAGCTTATATTATCACCAAATCTATCCCACATTGCGGTCTTTAAAACGCCCCAAACCGCATCTCAATCGATCAAGAGTTCAAAAGTTATAAAAGGTTTTCATACTTACACATACACACACATACATATACATACATACATCCGTACGGATGTCCACGTGAAATTCGTCAAAACGTCGAGATCTGATGAAAATTCGATTTTCGAAAATCGGAATGAAACCAATAACTTCCCTATTTTCGAAAATTATAATTTTTTTTAGCGGGAAGTTAAAAACCTCTGTCCTGGAAGAAGCAGCAAGAAACCCAGCGGCACTTTTTTTTAAAACATATTTCTAACCTATTTCGCAGGGGTTATTTTCTATTATGTATTCATTTATATTATAATAACCCTTTTTGTACAATTTTTCTTTAATAAAACATTTAAACTTGTTTAATGACAAATTTTGTACATTTTCTGGGATTTTGTTGTAAAAGCGTATACATTGCCCATAAATGAATTACTAATTCTGTGGAGTCTAGTAACTGATATTACAAGCTTATGTTTGTTCCTAGTGTTTAAAGTATGAATATCTATAGTCTTATGAAAGCTGTTTATGTTTTTACGTACATACATTACATTTTCAGAAATATATTGTAAAATAATAACATGACAAAAGGAACATTCTGACAGTCCAAGTAAATGATCTAAATACATCACGGCCCGATAATAGCTAAGCGATTGCATTTGCTGGGATGCCAGTTCAAATCTCGTACGGAACAAGAGTTTGTATTGTATGTATTATATTGTGATATTTGTTACAACTAATTGTTCCGGGTCTGAATCTTTGTCCATGTGCAATTTATGTATTTAAAATGTATCCACAACTCAGGATGAAAACCTACTGTAAATGTAGGGTTATTTAATATTTTGTAAAGAAAAAAATCACAATTTTTTAAATATAATGATTTAATATTAATAAGGAACGAGCACACACCTGATGGTAAATAATTATGTGGCCCATAGACATCTACATATATTCTCGATTAATAATAAAAATGCAGATGCGTTGTCACCTATGAGGATGAGGACTAAGATGAGATGTCTCGTTTCCAGTGTTTTGCACTCTGGTTCTCTACATTCTTCGTGGGAAACACAGCGGCTACAAGCTGCTATTTTACACTGTGAGGAAGTGGTCCTACCCCGGTCAAGCCGACCAATTCGTGCTACAATCATAATATAATGTGACTCTAGCATGTTACAAAAATTTACATGTAAGTATCATTAATAGAATCAGGTGTTACTATGCGGAAATCCATTATATTATAGTTAGTAAGAATTACCTCGCACATATCTTCTCAATAAAATAAATGCACGCAATTGAGGGAGGGCGGGAGGTGCTCTTCGGAAGCGACACATCATTTTATTTTATTGAGGGATTTGTGCGAAGTAATTCTTACCAACTTTAACATTACAAGTGTATTTATAACAAAACATAGTTACATTTTTTTACAAAAACTTGTCTTAACTAACACATTAACCATCCCAGCAATATTTCTACAAATGGCTTATCCAGCTTTATGCAACAATAAAATTTACAAAGCTTCACAAAGATGATGACGATAAAATGCGCTAAAATCTAATCTAGGTTAGAATTGGGGGTCATTGTAGAAGCGTGCTCGTCGCGACCCCTGCCAGCCCTTTTCAGGGCTGCAATTCTACACAGCTGCGCACCCATGCAAACGAGGGTTAGGGCGTCCCCCCAAGGCGACGCACACCAGCTCGTCCCCGTTGGTGTGGAATGCAGCGCGCAAAGCGGCGATGGGGACCGCCACCCGTCACGCACAGCCCGACACGGCGGAAGGTGGAGGACGGAGTGCAGAGTTGGCACGTGGAATGTTAGAGGGGCATGAGAGATAAGACGAATGAGTTGATCGAAATAATGAAAGAAAGAGAATTAGATGTCGTGTGTATTTCGGAGACCAAACGGGAAGGCAGTGGTACTGAAGAGCTCCCTGGCGGGACGTTAGCTATATGGTCCGGAGTCCCGGAAAGCGAGAACGCCTGCCAGGGAGTGGGAGTGCTGTTGTCGTCCCGGTTGGTCGATCTTATGACTGAATACAAGGTTGTGAACTCAAGACTTCTCTGGGTTCGCTTCAAAATGGGACTGACGAAGTTATTCCTTTTGGCTGTTTATGCGCCGGTAGCTTCGTCGTCCAGGGCTGAGCTGGAGGAGTTTTGGGAGAATGTAAGAGAAGTTCTAGATTTGGTTAAGGGAAACGAAAGAACTGTTGTATGTGGTGATTTGAATGGATGGGTAGGTATCGCTCGACCAGGATACGAGTCGGTGCTTGGAAAGTTTGGCGATAAAAGGGTTAATGATGCTGGCAAGCTTATACTGGCTGTATGCAAGGAAAAGGGTCTTCTTGTGACAAACACTATGTTTAGTCACAGGAAAATCCATATGTACACTAGAGAAAGAAAGAATGAGAGAAGTATGATTGATTTGTTCCTGGTGGATGACCGACTGCGAAAACAGGTGATGGATACACGAGTGTTCAGGGGTGCTGACCTGGGAACGGATCATTATCTAGTAATTACTAGATTTAGGGGTTTGTTCGCGGGTTGGCGCTACCGGACGGCAGTAACAGAACCACAGTCGGTCTGTCGCATCCGAAGCTGGAAGCTTCAGGAAGCGGATACTAGGGACAAATATCACACGAGGGTAGCCGAAAAGCTTGACACCATCGATGGCAGGAAAGAATGTGTGGAGAGAACATGGCAGAACCTTAGGGATGGAATGGTAAGTGCAGCGGAAGAAGTATGTGGTACGACAAAAAGAGGTAGTAGTAAAAGAAGAGATGCATGGTGGAATGATGAAGTGAGAGAAGCTGTAAAAAAGAAGAAAAAAGCATGGTTAGACTACTTGGCCTCTGGTAACGATGAGCATATGAGGGAGAAGATGAAAGAAAGATATAAGCTGCAGAAAGTTCATGCGAAAACATTGATTGAGGAAGTACGTGAAAGGTGTAGAATAGAAGCGGACGAAAGATTGTCGCACAACTTTAGGGAAAACTCCAAACTCTTCTGGAAAGAGGTTGGAAGGTCCCGGAGTGGTGCGACAGCCTTAAGAATGAACAAAGTGCTTTCGAGAACCAATGACGTCCTCTCAGAAAAATCGGACGTCATGCAGCGATGGAGTGAATTTTATAGAGAAATGTATGCGTGTCATGATCTTAGTGAAGGATCCGAGGGTGACGCCGTGACTGGCACGCCAGACACGGACCTCGATGACACTGAGGTCATCAGCATGAAAGAGATTGAACGTGCGATTCGAAGTTTGAAATGTGGTAAGGCTGCGGGACTAGACAGAGTTACTGCTGAAATGGTCAAGTACGGTGGGCCTCGCGTCTGGGACAGCTTCCATCTGCTGTGCAATTTGTGCTGGCGGACGGGAGATGTCCCGGATGATTGGCGATCCGCGGTCATTGTGCCTTTATATAAAGGTAAAGGTTCACATTTTGACTGCGGGTGCTATCGGGCGATCAGCTTGACCAGTTTAGCAAGTAAAGTTTACTCGAAGGTTTTGACACGTAGGATGCAAGAGAAATCGGAAAGATTCTTATGGGAGGCACAATGCGGATTTAGACCTGGAAGAGGATGCACGGATCAAATGTTTTCTCTCCGCATGATCACGGAGAAGCTTCTGAGTGTTAACCAGAAGATTTTCTGTGCTTTTGTGGATCTGGAGAAAGCATTTGATAAGGTTATAAGGAAGAAAATGTGGGAACTGCTGCCGGAATATGGTGTGGATGGTCGATTGTTAAGGGCTGTGCAGTCACTTTATTATGACTCTAAAGCCTGTGTGCGGGTTAGCGCATGCAAACCGATAATCAATAACCGATAATTTATCGGTAATCAGTTCATTTTTTTCACCGATAATTATCGAAAAATTTCTTAAAAATACCGATAAACGATAATTTCATAAAGGTTTTATGCAATCATTTCCATCACTACCGCGAGTTATTTTTTGGAATTCGCGCTGCGTGCAGTGGCATTCCACTAGCCCGTGTCTATAGCTCTCTTGCTCACTCATTTCATGACCAACACAAGTGCGCAGTCGCGTGCAGGACAGACCGCGCCATTAAGCGCGGCGTGGGAAGTTTGTTCAGTGTGATCCAGTGTGGTGTGATGTTTGGTTGGTTGCGTTGTGTTCTGTTGAGCGTGCTTCGCTTTTTTGTCGACACGACGCTAAAGGATTTACAGTAGGTAAGTAAAATAATCTAGATAGATAGATTTTAAGTAGATTTTTTATATTATGTACTTGTTTGACGTTCGCTTTATAAGCCCACTTCATATTCATACATCTTCTTTACTTCATAGCCCACAGTGCTCAGTGATATAAGTAGGTAATTTTATATAATATTTTAACTTTAGGTAGGCACACGTTATTTAAATGTTAAGTAGTGTGTTTAAAAGTTTATTTACTTACACAATACTTAAATATCATTCGCAGTATTACCAAATTACCGTATTTTTATCGAGATCACGTCTCAGTGTGTCTCAGTCTACCAGTGTTGCCCGTAGCTTCGAATTTCGAATCATAATATTATTAGTAGTGTGAATATTAAAAATATCTTTTGTTTTAGGTACTTACTGCAACGAGTGAATTAATCAATAATGTCAAATAAAATAAACTACATTCCTGTATACAAAAAAAGTTCCGATCCAACGTCGGTTTGGTATCATTTCCTAAAGGCCGATACAGGTGATTCTGCAAAATGTAAAACATGTGAAAAAGTTATTAAGTGTGCGGGTGGTACTACAACAGGACTACGCAGCCATTTAAGATTACATAATATTTCACTTGACAGCGAAAGGCTTGCTTCAGAAGTAGCTAGGGAAACTGCTGGGACTTCCAAAAGAAAAAATGATAACTCTTTATTGGAGTCACCAGTTTCAGCGAAAAATTGCAGAATGACCGACTACTTCTCACAATCAAACAGATCATTGGATGTTATGGTATCAAGAATGACAGCACTTGACGGTATGCCATACAGGGCATTTACAGAATCTGAAGACCTGAAGCATCTATTTAAAAAAGCTGGTTATAAATTACCTACGAGCGCAAATACTATAAAAGATGTGACTATAAAGTTTTATGATAAGACTAAGAAAAACCTTATAAAGGAAATACAGGAACTAAAGGATGAAGGACACAAATTTTCGGTTTCAATAGATGAATGGACATCTTCAAGAAATAGGCGATATATGAATGTGAATCTTCACTGTGCATTTTTCAAAGGTAACCACCACACGACGAGAAATCTTGGTTTATGTAGGACGTATGGCTCTGTTACCGCTATCAAGTGTGAAGAATACCTGCGAGAAAGGCTACACGAATTTAAATTAGATTTTGACACTGATGTGATCGCCATTATATCTGATGGAGCTTCTGTTATGACAAAACTAGGAGGAAATTTAAACTGCATACATCAGTTATGCTTAGCTCATGGCTTGCAATTGGCCATCGTGGATACGTTCTACGTAAAAAATCAAGAAAACGTAAATGAGGCTCAAGAAGAACTTGCCGAAAACGAAAATAATCTGAACACTGTTTGCATTGGCACTGAAGATGATACTGAGACTGGTGGATTTCAAATAGAGCAAGCTCCAACTGTAACAGTTGACGTGGAGACAAATATTAAGTTTGGGCTTGTTGTAGAAAAGGTGAGGAATATTGTGGGGATGTTCAGAAAGTCACCAACGAAATCCGATATTCTTCAAAATTACATAAAAATGGAGCTTGGTAAAGAATACGCACTGATATTAGACTGCAAGACGCGCTGGAGTACTCTTTGCAATATGATTGGTAGGTTTATTAAAGTGAAAAGAGCAGTCTTAAAAGCACTCATTGATGTAAAATGTGATATCCAGATTAATGAAGTGGAGTGGTCTATTCTCGAAGACATTTATGAGAATCTCGATGTAATGAAAGTTACTGTTGAAGCTGTTTGTCGCGAAGATGCTACTCTGCTTAGTGCTGATGCTGCCATGATTTTTGCACTTAAAAAACTTGAAACTCGTAACACGTTGCTTAGTAAGGAGCTTCATGCAAGTCTGAGCAAAAGGATCAAACAAAGGCGGCTACCAGTTGCAAGTCTAATGCAATACCTTCACAACCCAGCAACATATTTTGAAGAAAATGAATATGACGCAGATGTTTATCCGCGCTTGCCTAACGATTGTCTGCAAGAGATGGTATTGGGGCTTCTAAAATACGATTCGGCCGCACAATCTTTTACTTGCAACGATGTCAATGACTTACCTACTGATGATTCGCAGAATGAAG